TCTTGTGCACCGGCATGCTGTCCGTTTACCTCAACTAAACTCTTATAAAAATTCTCCACAGGTTTGGACATTCTTACGTTGACAGTCTTCATCTGAGAACCCTTTGTAGAAACCCTTCAACTGGAGGAAAAATTGAAACTTACATTTCAACTGCTGTCATCTCTTCCTCCCTTCTTAAAGTTAAACTCAAAAGCACTAAACTCTAAAACTATTTTGTTATTCCCACCATTCTTCTCTCAAGATCAAGTGCGTAACCGGTTTTGTTGTGAAGTCTCCAGTTTTTCCTACGTGAGCCATGCAGAAAGTCCCCAAACAGAAGCACCAGGTACCCCCAGTGGCAGTTGCACAGCATGAGACACAGGGAAATTGACACCAGAAACTTCTGGATATGACTTCCTGCTTTTTCTCCGGACAGAATTCAAACCTCTTGCATCACTGTTATTATCCCTGCTAGTTTCATGTTTGTTACAATTCAACCTTGTAGCTTTCTCTCTAAATTTTTGTTAAGGACTCTCACTAACCTCCACGTTCGGTTCACAACTTCAGGATAATTCATCTTTCCTGATGAATTTACAGCTCTGTACTTCGTTTTGTTGCCTTTTATTAACTTCTGCTTTTCTGGCAGATGCCTTAATTTAAATCCTCTCGATTTTTATTTCACAGGGATGTTGTGGGTGCAACCTGTGAATGGGCTTGGCTTTTCCCCCCCACTATTTTACATCCTTACTTATTAGGGTATTTCCATCATGCCTCTTTCTCTGAGGGTTTAAAAGCTTATAAAGACGTTTGAGGCCTGAAAAAAAGTCTTGTGTCCAAAATACAAAACGATAACTACAAAGTCAATTTTTAAAAGAAAAGTGATATGTGTGGAACGTAGTTCCATTTAATACATTTCATATAATGTGTCTTTAGGCAGTTTTTGCAATTTTGAAGGACTAAGAAAACTTTTCTTCCCCTTGTCTTTTTATCAGTTTAATTCTAATCCTATTTTTTAGACATTTGTTCATCCTTCAAATAATTTTGCCACCTTTTAAGCATTTGAAAAATGAATTTTTTCTAACTTATACATAATGTGAAAAGGAATATCTCTACCAACTCTACATTTCAGAACTTGTTTTTTTTTCTTTCAGATATATCGTACTGACTCACTATAAATATGTTTCAGACAATAAAGAAGTATATCTAAATAAATGTATTTTAAATTTTTTTTCCTGTGGTAGATTCCAAATATTTGTGTTAGGGGTAATTTTTAAATTACATTTAGCCATATAATTATTTTTATTGAATTTATTGAATTTATTAGTTAGTAAAATTATATAGGTTTCAGGTATATATAATTATTTCTTGAATGCAGCTAAAATTTCTTCCACTATCATTCTTTTCTAAAATAGTAATATTAGCATATGCTTACGTTTTTTCAGTTAAATTAATTTCAGTAAATAATTTCTCAATTAAAAAATTAGAAAAGACATACCTACTATGCACTAAGGAAGGAGTAATCGATGCTGCTGTTTAGAGAATGGCATCAAGGAATAACAATAATTAACAGTTGTTGATCAGTTACTGGGTACCAGGAACTTTATAAGACCATTTTCTATTTTCATTAACCCCAACTTCCCCACACGGGGATCTGCAAAGTTCACAGCAACAGGAGTAACTTAACTTTCACTTGCTGTTGCTCCTGTGAGCATGTATTTCTAGAAGTTACTAGGCATGTCAAATAGTGTCCATTAAACCTACTTGTACTGGGTACTGGTATGCGCCCACTGAGCATGAGGGTCTCCGGCAGGTTCTGCTCCCCGGCAGGTACAATGTGTTAATATTCTGCAGTCCTATCCCTGCCCCCTGGGTGCTGCCACCGCGCCAGCAGGCCTTGGCACCACCGCGGAGGACCCTCACAGTGCCAGCACAGGGTGTCAATCTTTGACCAAGTGGGGAACCATATCCCTCTCCTTAATGTGATGAAACCTGTCAGAGGACTCCTAGGCAGTGATGTCTACAACTTACTAATCCGCTGGGTTGTTCTTTCAGTTATTGTTCCAGATCTTTTTCTCCCTTGAACTAAGACATGCATAGATGGGCTGGACTGGAGACAGATTTAAGTAATGGGGCACTTAACTTCCACAGTGCAATGCTTGGTTTTTCCCTAAGAATGAATTGCCTCCAATGTGGCTTTTCAACCCCAGATAAGTGGATATCATTTGGGCAAATCCTATCCATCATCTGACACATCTACCCATGTCCAAACTCCAACAAGGCTGGCAGCGCAGGTTATTGGCTAGAACAGAAACTAAATTTATTTTAGAAATAAGAAAACTGAACATCAGCAAATTTAGGTCATCTACCCAAGTCCATATGCTTAGCAAACAGCTAAAATGAGATTCAAATCTAACTCCAAGTTTTGTGTGTTTTGTTTTTTGTTTAAGAATATCCAACTGCCTTCTGGAAACTCAAGCTCTTCTTTATCTCAAGGTATACCATTCAGTTCTTTAATTCATTAATGTATACATATCATATCAAATGCGTGCCCTGCCTTTCCAACTACCTGCTAAGGATGTTTCAATAAACAGCACTGACACTTACTCCATTCAGGAGGAGTTTGCACTCCAAGGAACTGATATCACTGTCCTCTTTCCTTCTTTCCCAAGCTATCGTTTTAATCTAGATAACTACAGTATGAGGAAGTAATCCTTCAGCCCTCCCAGAAGGAAAATAAAACAACAACAACAACACATACACACAAGAGTAATATCTGGCTCAAGAAAACAGAGTTCATTTTTCAGGATTGAACTATCGGCCCCACTAACCACTCTTTGACAATAGGGAATGGACTGCCTGCCTGTTTGCTTCTGTTTCCAGAGCACAAGGAACTTTATTACAGCTGAGATACATTACTACTGTCTCCAACCCATACTTCCCATCGCATCTAAACACAGCCACCTGGACAGAAGAGCGAACCCAAGGGTCTCTAGGAAACTTAACAGATTTCCAGCGACCTCTGGCAAGTGCATGACCATCACCTCCTCCAGCTCTTCCTGAGCACATAGGAATACTGTACAAAAGGGACTGGGGAAGGAAGGAGAGGAAGACTTTGCTCAGGGATTAAACATCGTTTCTCTTGAGGAAGGGGAAGACTCCAGGAAATAGGTATCTTAAGGAAAAAAAACAAACCTGTTAGTTCGGAAGCATCCTAGATCTAGATATGCAGCCCTAGTCTACAATAGCGGTTTGGGGTTATTAGGGTCACCCTACTTTGTGCTCTAGATAAGATTACATTGAATCTCATTACATACTTGTACAAAGTCCAAAAATCCTCCCCAATCTTCCTTCAAATCCTGAAGTCTTGTGTTACCACGATCTCTCTGTCTTGAAACTCCTGCTTCTAGCCATCCCGTTCCTGTCTCCCCACCTCCTTCCCCTCCTCCCCCAATCTGACACAGACTGAGCATCTTTCCATACTTCCCACAAATTAGGCAAGTTGTATATGGCGCACAGTTGACTGAATATTTGGGAAGAGTTGACCAGTTTCATCAGTTTTAAATTCCCAGTAGAATACAATTATGAAGGCAGAAATGTGTTCATTCATGTTATAACTCAGACGCTGAGAACAAGTAGAGGGCACTCAATAAATAGCTGTTGTACAGATGAAGTAAGGCATTCCTTCCTCAGGGAAAATACAAGCAACCTCGTATTGTTCTTAAAAGTCTTCAGCCCCCATCTCACCAGGCCTTTGTCACTGGCCATTTTTTCTACGTAGCTCCCAGCCTCTTGTCATCTTGGCACTTCTTTCCCTATTTCTCTTTCCACCTCTCCTCCTCACTCCCTCCTTCCTGATGGGCTCTGGGAACTTCAAATTTTTTTCATGTATATAAAGCAATTTATGTTTCTCTATGCCTAACTCAGAAGGTTTCATATCCAAACCCATTTGAGTGCTCAGCAACACCAAAGCCTTTTAGTCACCCGACTATCTGGCATTAGGTGAAATCCAGTGTTTAAAAACAAACAAACAAACAAAACAGTCAACTCAATCAAAACCCACTACTTCAGAATCAATAGTTTTTTGAAGCCACAGTAATACTTAAATATGTTTAAACATATTTAAGAGTCGAATGCAGAAATTTGATTAGTTGGAAAGCTAATTAAACTTCCAACTTGCTCAAATAGAATGACAAAGGCAAAATTGTGTCTTTTTTCACAGAGATACAGTCCACTGGAATCACCAACACTGGACAGTTGTTAGAGAATTTAGAGTCCTGACATAAGAGAAATCCAGGCATCCTTTACATAATCTTCTGTTATCCTTTCTTCCCAATTACAGATTTGTGGATGTGTAGAATGACATCACTACCAGCAACCGTAGCCTTGAATAACCAGCCTTGTATCTCCATGAATAACAAGTTGCAAATGACAAGGGATAATAAATAAATAATAATTGATTAACAAATAATAAATAAATAATAATTAATAATTAATCTTTCCACATTGCTCTAGCCGGTTTGGCTCAGTGGATAGACCCTCCGCCTGCGGACTGAAAGGACTGAAAGGTACCAGGTTCGATTCTGGTCAAGGGCACAGGCAGGGATTGTGGGCTTGGTCCCCAGTAGGGGGCGTGCAAGAGGCAGCCAATCAATGATTCTCTCATCATTGGCGTTTCTATTTCTTTCTGCCTCTCCCTTCCTATCTGAAATCAATTTTTTAAAAAAATCATTCGATGCATTTCCTGCCAATTCAAGTACCTTGATGGTGAAGTACTCTAGGTTACTGTGTTGTGCACAGCAGCAGTCACGCCCACACGTCCATGGCTGGCTATCCTAGATTTCAGGTGTGAATAAAGTGCCCACCGGAAACTAGTTCTCTACTGGCGGGAAACCTGAGTTCCTCCCAGCCCTACTGCCAGCCAATTCTGCTGAAGCTCAAACAAGCAAGGTAGAGAAAGGACTAGTCAGACACCGGCGAGATCCCACTGCCTTCCCCCTAGAACTGCGTTTCAAACTGGCGGGACCATCTTGGTTTTTGTGTTCCACTGGTTGCTGTGGCTCCTTCGTTGTACTCCAAAGCTCTCCCACAGCTATTTTTATCAGTGAGTAATTGTTAATTTATTGTTTTTGTGGAGGGATGAAGGCTGGGACCTCCTAGTCCTCCATCTTGTTGATGTCACTCACTTTAGAACATAAATTTTGCCATAAGTGGTCATCAAGTCAGTGATGCAAACAATGGCATTCTTTGATCAGTCATATCACACTTGTGACTCTATTCCCAAAGCCCTGTTTAGATCCAGGTCCTCTTCCCAAAACTCCATGGCGACTATTCTCACACTTGCACAGTCTCCTTAAAATCAGCATGTCCACAAACAGAAGTCACGCTCTTCTCCCTCAAAGCTGCTCCTTTTGCGGAATTCTAGAACGTAGTCCACAGTTTTCCCATCTACACAGCTGAGCATATCGGCAGTCACCATTGACTCTTCTCTGACTCCAATGCCCCAAATCTAATACAATATCAAGTCTAACCCATTTTACCTTATAGCTGTCTCTTGATCCCATCTCCACTGCCACTGCCCTCATCCAGACCTCCTTTACCTCTGGATTGGACCATAGAAACAGCCTCCTGACTTGCTCCATGTCCTCACTCCTGCCTCTCTCCAAGTTAATCGTCCCTTAGTAGCCTAAGACCTCTTCAAGACCACTTTACAAATTTCATCTGATCACATCCTTGTCTTGATTCTTATCCTTAAGTTCCAAATCCTTAATGGCTTACAGGAAACCCCATGGCCTACCCGACTACTCCTCTGGCATCTTTTATTGCCACTGGACTCATACCTCTCTCCATGCCAGCCATTCTGTACCTCTTTCAGTTCTTCAAACATCCATACCACTTCCCATATCTGGGCCTTTGCACAAGCTGTCTCCCTCCCTCACATGCCCTTTCTTGCATTCCTATGGATCCTGCAGGGTTCAACTTAAAGAATGCTTTCCCAGGAAGGCTTCCTTGACTTTCTAGAATAGATTAGGTTAATCTGTCATATGCTCCCACAACATTTTGCACTTTTTTCATTGTTGAATTTATTCATAAGATTTGTTTAATGTTTATTGGCCCTACTAGAATGCATGTATCATAAGGACATTAATGCGCCCATATCATTCATATCTGTATGCCCAGTGTTTTGCCAATACCCAACACATAGTCAGGTCTCAATAAATAGTTGCCAACTGAGTGGCTGAAAAACAGTTCTTCCTAGTTAAGGATTCAGTTTCAATGCACAGTTATAACCTAAACACTAATAGTCCATCATATTTGTACTTTTGTTAAGCCTTTTGACTTTTTTTTTCCACATTACAAAACTTTTTATGTACATACTATACTTCCCTCTTCCCAGTGACGTGTCATAAATTGATGTATTTTTATTGGGTGAGGCCCAGGTAATCTCCGTTTATAACTCTGACCTTTCTGTGAGCAAACACAAAAAGTGAACTTTGGTTTATCTCCTACCATAATGTAGCTGCTTATTACTGGCGAGCAGGCTGTATTCCATGGCCCATGTGACCAGTGGGGTCTGACCAGAAAGGAACGTGCGGCAGAGCAGACCGAGGGACCTAGCTAGAGGCTGTCCAGCTGGAGCTCCTGTCTCCCTAAAAGCCCAGAGTAAAGCAACTGAGCACAAGGAGTATGGTTCTGAGGTGAGCGAGGTCATGAAGAAACCACTGTTGGGCTTGACTCTGTGGTTACTGCTCCTCTGTCCAGGGCTGATGTGTCTCCACAACGAGGTGATTCAGAAATGCAACAATGGCATCTACGAGATCAGCGTCCTGATAATGAAAAACTCAGCCTTCCAAGAGCCCCCGGCAAAGTTGGAACGTGCAGTGAGACAGGGAGTGAAAATCGTGAATCAGCGTCTAAACGATCATGGTAAGGATATGGTAACAGAATCCTCCTCCTCCCTGTTACAACCTCTGGGATCAAAGGATTGCTAAGTGAAGATCTTGTGTTCTTTGCCTGATCACCAACCTTTTCTAAGGGCCTGTCCCACAACCCCTTTTTATTTCAAGGCAGTAGATTCTCAGACAGAAGGATTTGAGTCCGACCACATTTAATAATTCCCTGTTGTAAGATATTATGTTATTTTTACTGTTGCATAATTGTTTTTAAAAGACTACACCAAGCCTTTTCATGTATATAGTTGTTTTTTGGGTTTTTTTTTAGTCTTTGAGACTAGATTGCTAGACTTCACTCATAATCTACCTTGCTCTGGGGGTGGCCTGACTCAGGGGATGCCAGGTGTTCGCAGCAGTGAAATGCCCCAGATAGCATTTCAATAAAAACCGGATTTATTTCTCATTTTCGGAGAGGCATCATGTTTCCTCCTGCAACTGCTCAGGAACAAAATTTGGTCTGGACCTGAGATTTCCTAGGGTTTCCAGTCAAGAAGATAAATTAGGGAGTAAAATTCATACAGATGCTGAATCTTTTTCTGGGATTTTTAATTCATCTGTTCACTCTTTACTTCTCTGGTGGCTATTATAATAAAACATAGTTAATATAATAAATTTCCAATAGAATTTAGTGTTGCAGTTCTTCATTGTATCTTTTAATTATTAAAATAAACTTTATAACATTAGATAAAATATGTAGAATAAAATATTAGGTAAAATATAAGGAAAAAATCACCACTGATCATTTCTAGCAGCCTGGATATTTATATGCTTCTCAGTTTCTTGTTTTTTAAGAACATGTTTGGGATCACATAGAAACAATTTTTTAGCCTTCTGATTTCACGTTACATCATTCTAGAAGTGACTTTCCTATAACTGCATAATCTTCCTAGCATCCCGAGAATAGATGTGTAATATCCTTTGGAGTAGATATTCTCCCAAATCATCCTATATAATAAAGAGCTAATATGCTAATTAGACCGAACAGCAGAACAACCATCCAGACGACCTTCCGGGCGACCTTCCTGACGAAGCAGGGGGTGGGAGGGCTGGCCGAGGCAACTGGGGCTGTGAGGGCTGGCAAGGCAGGCAGGGCTGTGAGGCCCAAGCCCCTTGCCTGAATTTCGTGCATCGGGCCTCTAGTTTAATAATAATGTAAGATATTTTATTATTTTTAATTTTGCATAATTATTTTAAAAGACTACACTAAAAAAAGACTACACTAAACATTTTCATGTATATAGTTTTTTTTTTTCATTCTTTGAGACTAGATTGCTGGAAGTATAATTACTGAGTCAATGCAATTTGATGCATCTCCATGGTTATTGATGGTTTTGAGGAGGGTATGTCTTAATCTTCTCTATTTAAAATTGTCTGGTAAAAATACCAACAGATATTATACAAGTGTGTAAAAAGTTCTTTTTCTCTGCAATATACGTTTCTTCAATCCAGTCTGAGGCTGGATTCAGATATAAATAGAGAAACTAAGAGGTCATTTCATAAAATTCCCTATTTACTGAGGCAGTGTGTAGTAATGGGAAGAACATTTTATTTAAAGTCTGAAGACCTGGATTGGAGTCCCTTTCTCAGAGCTTTCTCTCTGTGTGATCCTGGATGAGTGATTTCTCTTCTTCTCTCCGAACCTTGTTTTCCTTGTTTACGGAATACCTCTCCTGGGCTGGGTAAGATATGTAACCTTTGTAATCACAGCTCTGTTAGACTGGCATTGTTGACACTTTCACAATGAAGGTTTAATAACTTTGCTTAAGTCATACAGATTGTCTGTTTGAAATGAGTTTCACACTCATATCCGTCTAATTCCAAAGAGTGAATCTTGCCACTGTAAGATCTTTACCCACCACGAACTTTCTCATTAAAACAAGGCAGTGCAGCTCTAGCCAGTTTGGCTCAATGGATAGAACGTTAGTTGGTGGACTGAAGGGTCCCAGGTTCAATTCCAGTCAAGGGCATGTACCTTAGTTTCAGGCTCCATTCCTGGTTGGGGTGCGTGCAGGAGGCAACCAATCACTGTGTCTCTTTCAATACATGTTTGTCTCTCTCACCCCCTCCCTTCCACTCTCTCTAAAAATCAATGGAAAAATATCCTTTGTGAGGATTAACAAAACAAAACAAACAAACAAAAATAAGACAGTGGAACATTATGGTGAGAGGTAGAGATTTGGAATCAAACAGGCCTTGGTTCATATTCTTGCCTTTTATGCAACCATTTATTACCAGTGACCTCAAGCAAATTATTTAAGTTTTCTGAGCCTCATTCTCTCACCTATAAAATTGCAATAGATAGCAGTTACCTCATATGGCTATGGTGTGAATTAAATGAGAAAATTCATATAAATTATGCAATACACTGACTGAAAATAATAAGAACTCAGTAAGTGGCAGTTGTTTTTATTACTGTTACTTACTCTTTTTTTTTTAATCTTCACCTGAGGGCATGCTTAGAGAGAAGGGAGAGGGAGGAAGAGAGAGAGAGAGAGAGAGAGAGAGAGAGAGAGACATCAATGTGAGAGAGAGACATTGATCAGTTGCGGGCAACCTTTCCCAGCACAGAACAACGTCCAATGAACTGAACCACTCTGGCAGGGCTACTTATTGTTGTTCTTGAAGATGTTAATGTTGTAGTTGTTGCTAGGCTACTGCTGATATTAGGAGAGCAAGTTACCAGTCATATGAAATAAACAGTAAAGTTTATTGGTAAGATATTAATCTCTGAACTCATATAACCTGAATTTGAATTCCTGCTCCATCATTTACTAATGAGTTATTTATTCTCTTGAAGTTTCACTCATCTCATTTGTAAAACAGAGTTATTAATGGTGAAGTTGTAAAATAGATTAAATGAGTGGAAAATTTTAGGGGGAAGGAAGAATAAACAATGATGGCCGAATTTTTGCACTTGATGATGCATTTTGTTGGATGAGTGTTGATGTATAATAAAGTCAACAAGTGCAAGTTGTGAGGAAAAGATAGGTTCATTGTTTTAAACATATTGAGCATTATTATTTGGAAAAAATCTAATACAATATAATGAAGAGCTAAATAGAAGAAATTTAAATGTTGTGGGTGATGTGTAAATGAAAGACCGCAATATTTTCTCCTAGTACTTAGAAAACCTTTGTGCATTTGAAGACTAGGTAGGATTTGATGAAAAAAGATTGCTTCAACCTTAGGACATTAACTCCTCAAGTGTGTATGTACCATAGCTAAACGCACCAGGCCCATGCCCTGCATGTGCTGTCATGCCCCTAGACTCAGACACTATATGCAGATTCACTTTGGTACAACCCCATCCTGAAAGCCCTGGATAGGAGATAGAAGGTTCTGAGATCACCCTGAATTTTATTGCATTCCACTCATTCTCCCAGGACTGAGATTCCATGGTATGGTGAGAGAGCAGGCCAGAGAGGAATGAAAAATAGTGCTTGGGGTAATTGCTTATTTTAAAAGTTAAGCTTTGAATTGTCATTCCATAGACGTCTTTCCATTGTCTGAAAAATGTTCAGTATATTCTTGAGAGATCATTTGGAATTTACGGTGATCAAAGGGATAAAAAACCAAAAATAGTTCACGTAACCATAAAATGTTGAGAAGTAGCACCATACTACAGTATGTTCTATAGGAGTAGCTCTCAAAGTTTTTGGTCTCAAGACCTCTTTACACTCTGAAAAATAATTGTGAAATCTGAAGAGCTTTGTTTATGCAGATACATTTATCAGCATTTACTGTACTGGAACTTAAAGCAGAAATGTTTTATTTTTATGTTTTTATTCTTTTTAAATTTTATTTTATTATCACTTTTTTCTTAATCATCACCTGAGGATATTTTAAAATTTATTTTATTTTATTTTTATTTATTAAATTTATTGGGATGACATTGGTCAACATGAACATATAGGTTTCGGGTATGGGTTGCTAGGTTACAAGATCTGTATATTGCACCCTGTGCCCACCACCCACAGTCAAATCTTCTCCTGTCACCTTATATTAGGACCTCCTTCTCCTTCCACCCCATTCCCTCTGGCAATCACCACACTGCTGTTTGTGTTCATGAGTTTCAGTTTTATATTCCACATATGAGTGAATTCATATAGTTCTTAGCTTTTTCTGGCTGACTTATTTCACTTAGCATAATGTTCTCAAGGTCCATCCATGTTGTTGTAAATGGTAGTAATTCATTCTTTCTTATGGAGGGCTAGATTCCATTGTGTACATGCACCACATCCTCTTTATCTAACCCGCTATTAGTGGGACACTTTGGTTGTTTTCATGTCTTGGCCACTGTGAATAATGCTGCAATGAATATAGGGGCACATATATCTTTGGGAATACATGATTTCGAGTTTTTCGGGTATATACCCAGGAGAAGAATTGCTGGGTCGTATGATAGCTCTATTCTTAATTTTTTGAGGAATAGCCAGACTGCTTTCCATAGTGGTTGTACCAGTCTACATTCCCACCAGCAGTGGATGAGTTTCCTTGTTTCCACAACCTCTCCAACACTTGTTATTGCTTGTCTTATTGATAATGGCCACTCTAACAGGTCTGAGATGGTATCTCATTATAGTTTTTATTTGCATTTCCCTAGTTGCCAATGAGGTTGAACAGCTTTTCATATATCTATTGGCTATTTATATGTCTTCTTGGGTGAAGTGTATTTTTAGGTTCTCTGCCCACTTTTTGATTGGGTTGTTTGTTTGGTGTTGAGTTTTACAAGTTCTTTATATATTTTGGAAATTAAACCTTTGTCAGAGCTACTGTTTGCAAATATCATCTTCCATCTGGTTGGCTGCCTCTTTGCTTTGTTGTCAGTTTCTTTTGCTGTGTAGGAGCTTTTTAGTTTGATATAGTCCCATTCATTTATTTTTTGCCTTTACTTCCCTTGCTTTTGGGGTCAAGTTCATAAAATGTTCTCCATGACCAAGGTCGATAAGTTTGGTCCCTATATTTTCTTTTATGTAACCTATTGCTTCAAGTCTTATACTAGGTCTTTGATCTATTTTAAATTAATTTTTATACATGGGGACAAACTGTAATCCAGTTTCATTTGTTTACATGTGGCTTTCCAGTTTTCCCAGCACCATTTATTGAAGAGACTATCTTTACTCTATTGTGTGTTTATGGCTCCTTTGTCAAAAATTATCTGTTCATATGCATGTGTTTTTATAGCTGGGCTCTCTATTTTGTTCCATTGATCTGCATATCTGTTTCTCTGCCAAGACGATGATGTTTTGATTATTGTACCTCAAAACAGAAATGTTTTAAATATTTGCCTATCAATTCATTTAAATAACAACTATAGATACTTTATCAGTTAACATAGATAATATTTCTTAGTAAGGAAAACCTATATTTATCAAAACAAAAAAATAAAAGTAGGTGGGAAAGTAGTTTTGATTTACATTTTTGTAAATCTTTAATGTCAGGCTTCATAGAAAATGGTTGGATTTTTATATCTGCTTCTGCACTTAATCTATATATATAAAAGGCTAAGCAACCATCCAACCGTCCAACCGGTAGCTATGATGCACAATGACCACCAGGGGGCAGATGCTCCAACCAATAGCTATGACACACAGTGACCACCAGGGGGCAGACGCTCAATGCAGGAGCTGCCAAGCTGCAGTGACTTGGCAGTTCTTGGGTGACGCACCCTGAACCAGAGTGGAGGGAACCCAATTCCAGGATGTGTCACCCGAGAACCGCCCTCTCGCAATCCAGTACCCCTTGGGGGATGTCGGAGAGCTGGTTTCGGCCCGATCACTGCAGCCCACCTTCCAGAGGGACCCTGCTCACTCAGTAGACACCCTTCGAGCCATGGTGCCACCCAGGTGCAGCCTTCCAGGGAGGGACCGCGGGAGATTGGCTTCAGGGCATGCCCAGCCCATCTTGCCCAGTCCTGCCCCACCAGCCACCGTCTAATTAATTTCCTTTCCATGTGCATGAATCCATGCACCAGGGCACTAGTGTCTTATCATAATACACTTTACGTAGTCTCTGGAAACCTCTCACTATATAATCAAGAATGAAGGGGAGTGGGGAAAAAAAGCAAAAATGTCTTAATATAATTATGCAAATAGTTTTGACCCCCTGGACCTCCTGAAAGAGTCTCCAGGTACCTCAGGAGTCAATGGCCCCACACTTTGAGAACTACTTTTCTACAGCAGAATCTGGAGTCAGAGTGTCCTTGGCTCAAAACCCAGCTTCACTTCTTATGCAAATTAATCAACTTCTATGGACCTCTGTCTTCTCATTTTTAAATTAGGAAGGTAAATTATTAATTAATCTCATAGGATTCAGGAGAGAATTTAGTGAAAGAATGCATGCAAAAATCCATAGCCCAACGCTAGGCATATAATGACAGAGATCATCCAGTTCTAATCTATGAATAAATGGGTGAGAAACTGGGGCCCCAGAGGTGAAATCACTTGTACAAGATCACACTCAATAGACATTGGTTCCCCTTCTCCCAGACCCTGTACAGTAAAAGCCTGGATTTTGCCATGCCCATCATGGGCTGCCTTGAACCTAGGATTTTTGAGTGGATCATCTTTAGTGTCCCTCATAGCAACAGGTAGTTGAGGTGTAAGAGCTGTCTTATACATTAACAGGGAACGTGTGGCTATCTTCCCAATGCCCCGTTTTCATCATGTGACTGTGCACTGGCTGCCATTTCCTGACTCCTCTTGCTACTTTCCTAGACTTTCTCTACCCCAAATTTCTACTCCTCCCCACATGCATTCTCCCATTCCACTAGGTCCACCACAGCCTCACTCAGACTATTCTCCTGGCTTCATGTGCCTTGTATTCTCCCTATTTTTATGAGAATCAATAAGATAAAAGGTATAAAGGGCTGGCACATGAGTCACTGACCCTGCATCTTCCATTAACTTTCCCTGACTGGTCTTATCACACCGACCTCTCCTATTTGGCTAGTCTGAATGAACAAAATGCTGTCGTCTCTTATTTAGATATCTTACTAAACAAAGTATAGTAGCAGAATAAGTATCCTTGTCCTGGCCAGTGTGGCTCAGTCGGTTGAGTGGCATCCCATGCACCCAAAGTTCTACCATCCCATTCCCCCTCAATGCACATGCCCAGGTTGTGAATTCGATCCCCAGTCAGGGTTCATGCGGGAGGCAACCAATGGCTGCTTCTCTCCCACAGTGGTGTCTCTCTTTCTCTGCCCCTCTCCCTTCCTCTCTAAATAAATAAATAAATAAATAAATGTATGTCCTTGCATTAACAACTAAAAAGGCAAGAGGTAAAATGCTTCCTAGTTGTAGAAATATTTCTGAGGTGTCTGTAGAAGAGCAAAGACGTTTCCATTTTCTAAAAGAACAAATCTATATCTCTTAAAATATTCTAATTTGGATGTTCAGAAGAACAATAACTTCTATTGCTGGTATTCTCTTTTAAAGGAATTAAAAATTATTACATTTGACAAACCTGGTTTTAATACCATTTTACATGTGAATGAATCAAATAGAGAAATTAAAATGGCTTGTGCAAGAACACATAGAAAGTCACTCATACTGCCAGACTAGCAACTGAGGTTTCCAGGGTTCCTAAACAAGAGCTTCACAAAATGACAGATATCTCTGCTTAGGTATCAGGGATTTGTCCTGAATATTTTTTTAAATATATTTTATTGAGAGGAAGGGAGAGGGATAGAGAGTTAGAAACATCGATGAGAGAAAAGCATCGATCAGCTGCCTCCTGCACACTCCCTACTGGGGATGTGCCTGCAACCAAGGTACATGCCCTTGACCGGAATCGAACCTGGGACCCTTGAGTCCACAAGCTGACGCTCTATCCACTGAGCCAAACCGGTTAGGGCCTGAATATTTTTTTTTATTGGAAGGAAAACAAAATGCAAGAGAAAGAGTTTGGTCAAATGGTTCTGCTCTCTCTTTATTGTCTTCCTAGCAATACCCAGGGATATTGGCATCGATACTCTTGCCTTCATCTGAAGATGACCCATTATCCAAAGATTCTGGGCCAGAATGGATGGGCACAAGTCACTTTGGCTGTCATTGCTTTGCTAACACTTACCAGCCCCATATAGGAAACTTGCTGAGTCTACAATAATAAAAAACAGGATGAAGAAAATGTTCTCAACTGGATTGTGGGATGGTTGTGCAAATATATATACATACATAACACACACACACACACACACATACACACACACAAGGTGGGCCAAAAGTAGGTTTACAATTGTAGGTACACAAAACATAGAGTTTATTCTTGTATTATTATTTATTGATTATTGTATTATTTTCCATATGAACAACTGTAAACCTACTTTTGCCCCACCCTATATAGTATATATATGTGCTAAATACAGTATATATACATATAAATATATGTTTACTAAAAATCATTGAATTGTACACTTAAAATGACTGATTTTTTCTGGTGGTAAATTATGCCTCAAAAAAGCTGATGAGAGAGAGATAGAAACAGAGAGAAAGAGATAGAGAGAGAAAAGAAGTGACAGAGAGTAATATAAGAACTCCAAACTCAAATATCCCGAGGTCTGAAAATGGATCTCCATTTTTTTCCTCAGGATCAATTGTCAAAAGGTAAATTTTATGTCTGGTGTGAACTACTAAAAAAAATAACACTAGTTCTCTCTGTTCGCTCCTTTCTGGGTAATAGGAATAAATGCAACTGTGAACGCTAGCTTTATCCGTACAGAGGATGCGTTTTATAAGTCAAATGACTGTCGGAGTAGCACCTGTGAAGGCCTTGACCTACTCAGGAGAATTTTCGTAAGTATCTGCCTTGGTATGAGCTTTATCTACCAAGGCAATGGACAATCATAGTGTGAACCTTGGGCACCTGTCCATGAGCATCTCTCATGTCAGCTCTAGCCATGCTGAGCGATGTCAACGCAAGATTCTCTAACTTTATCCCTATAGATTTCCCGTGTGATGAGGGCCCGCCAGGAATCCAGGAAATGGAAAGAACCTAACTTTAACGTAATAACTGTCATGTCAAAGGGTAGATAATTGGGTGAGAGAGATTCTTGCCTAATCCCTTCTCCCAACTGCCCCACCCCCCCACCCCCATGCAGGTCTTGGAACACTAAAGAGTGTTCCAGCTCTCTAGAAGCAAGTATGTGTGTGAGATGCCCCCTTTACAGAAATCTTTGAAAAGGCCCTTGTGAAACAGGGCACCAGGCACAGAGCTGTGCATGGTTCCAAAGCTTCAATCAATAACATTCTACGTTATTATGCTGAGGTAGGCTCCACCTGGGCCAGGAGGAGTGGCTGATTACAGCAGTCACCCTCAGTCCTGGGAGGTTGCGGGAGGGATAGCGGGGGAGGAAGAAACGTTTAGGTGCTTCCTCCCTGGATCTCTACAGAGGAAGGTATGACCTGGTTCTCTAAAACCAAAGACGGGATGTTCCTAATCACATTCCCCTTGAGATATAATTGAAAATAAGATCTATCATTGCCCAGCTGGTCACATTACATTTGTTCTCTTTAGCCCTACTTTGTAGCTCTCCCTAAAACTTGCCCACTCCCTCCAGAGCACCTCCAAATCTAGTTTTTCTCTAATGTGGCCGACAGACACTACTATGTCTGCCAGTCCTTCCTCCCCTCTGCATCTCCCTCTTGATAAAGAATGCAGGTTCCCTGCGGTCAGCTCCCTTTCAGTGGAGTACCTTTCCCATAGCACCGCCTCTCTCAGACTACTTCATCCCTTAGCTGCCCCTTGCCCAGCAAGAGGCACCCCATGTTGCCCCCTTCTGCTCTGCATTCTAACATCTTAAGTGGTCCACTTTCTAACCTTCTGGGAGCCTTCCCTTGCCACTTCTTTTCTGTCTTTTGATTCTTTCCTTTGTTTTGTTTTCTTTTTTTGTGGGGTGTGTGTGTGTGTGTGTGTGTGTGTGTGTGTGTGTGTGTTTCCATTTTAGGCACTAGTTTTTTTCTTTCTTTTTTTCTCCTACAGAATAAAAAAGAGATGGGTTGTGTCCTCATGGGACCCTCGTGTACATATTCTACCTTCCAGATATAGTAAGTATTTTGTTTTGTTGTTTTGATGCCACTATGAATTGAAATCAAGACATGACATCCGTGTTAAAAAGAGTTTATCAAACAGCAGTCTAGTCAAGGCGACACAATGAGGAGTGTTGGGGCCCTCCTATATTGCCACTGGTCTTACAACCGTAATTCCCTTATCGAGTTAACTCTGCCTTTGCTCAGAGTGGAGTGAGTCACAGTAGCTGTTCAGGTGCAGTTACCAACATCTAAGCTGGAGAAGCAACATGGTATAAAGTCAGAGTTCTGGTAGGAAACAGGGAAGACATGCACTTGGATAACTTGAGGAGCTTAATCAAAGAAATACTCACAAACGTATAAGCAGAGTGTATGGAAACACAAAGAAAAGGGCAGCACTGAAGGGCATGAGCAGGGCTCTGTTTTAGCTCTGGGTTTACAAGAGTAAGGAAGGGAGCAAGGTACTTATTTCATAGCATTATTTGAAGGTTTTAAGTAACATATTACAGTACTTTGCACAATGCCCTGATCACCTTAGAAAGAAGCTTTCAATATATTCCTGAATGCAAATACTTCTCTCTGGGACAGTCGCCCTCATCCCTTCCATTCATTAAATCTCATCACCACAAACACTTTGGTCTTCCAGATTACACCGATCCCAGCCAAAATCCCTCCCACATGCCTTTCTCTCGCCTGTTACAATCTTACCCTGAATCAAGGATCAGCCCTCGCCTACGCAGAGAGAACTGTGCTGAAAAACCCCTTGCAAGAGACTCTGGAGGGTAAACATTAGGCCTCTGAAATGTCTGTTGCAAACTGTTCTTCTCACACCTCATACCAGCTCCCCTGGCAGATTCAGGTGCTCGGAGCCACTGCACTCCATAGACACACCATAGGAGCATTTTTTTTTAGCTTATCTTCCATACCAAAACGCAGACAAATACAGAATCTCACTCACTCTTCCTTGCACTCATTCCTGGTTGTCGTCTTGTCTGACTACTTATTGACAATGCTATAGAGTATGCTCAAAAGAAAAGGGGGGTTAAGAAAATGAACTCACCATTTAGGAGGACTTGCCATGTGCAAAGAAGCATTTTCATTTTAAATATGTTTTTATTGAGTTTAGAGAGAGAGGAAGAGAAAGGGAGAGAAAGATAGAAACATCAATGATGAGACAGAATGATCGACTAGCTGCCTCCTGCACTTCCCCTACTGGGATTAAGCCCACAATCAGGGCATGTGCCCTGACCGGGGATTGAACCATCACCTCCTGGTTCATGGGTCACCTCCTGGTTCATGGATCAGCCACTCAGCCAGACCATACAGGCAAGAAACATTTTTATTTTATTGGAATAGAGAGAATTAAGTAAAACCTAGCCCCTGCCTGGTGACATGAGAAGGTGATGAGGACCCTGGTGACCAGTACAAGTCAGAGTCAGGTAGGTTCCATCAGAGAAGGAAACAAACAAGACGCTCTGGATGCACAGAAGGAAATGGTCACCTCTGGTTAGGAGAGTTACGCTTCGAGAAGGGAAAGACTTCATGAAGGCAGTGGTATAGTAGAAGTTGTATGTTGAATAATGGGTAATATTTTAATGGGTAAAGATGAGAGGTTAAGTATCCTAGCCAGGCAGAGAAAGAAGTAAGTGTAAAAGCAAAGAAGCAGTGAAGCGTAGAAAACTTGTTAAACTCTGTACTAACGGGCATGCAAGAGATATAGAGGAGAATAATAGAGATAAAACTAGAAAAAATGAAGGAGGGACATATTTGGGAGGTCTTGAGTTCTGGGGGAAAGAGTTATATTTAATTAGATTATTAGTTGCATATGCTTTCTTGTATTTAATTAGATTTCGTTCTATTTCATTAACCACTAAGGTTGAGCAGGGAGGTACCATAGGAAGCAGTTTAACTTTGGGAAGAATAATTGACAACAGTGTACAGGAAAGACTGGAGCAGATAAGGAGAGAATGTTGGCAGAGAAGTCGGCAGGGGAGAAGGGGGGATCTGTTCAGCATAAAAGCAGCTGACATGCACAGGAAGGGTAAATTTTAAAGATATTTAAAGGTGGAATCAATAGTATTTAATAACTGATTGGATGTTGGGGTGAGGGCTGGAAAGTAGTCAAAAAGACTTTGAGATCTCAAAACACTAAAAGAAATGGAGAATCAGGATAAGGAACCATTTTGAGAAATAAAAATAAATTTGGCCGTGAACGTGGGGAGTTTGAGATGTGAGCAGAACACTCAGTGACACCTTTCAGTGGAACACTGAAGATGGAAGGGGGTATTTTTGTCCTTCCTTTATCAAATACATATTGAGCACCTACATCTGGACCAGGCTGACTGGGGATGCTGAGGTGAACAAGCAAGACATGATCCCTGGCTTTAATGGAGCTTGCAATCTAGTGGAGGAGACAGATACTCACCCAAATAATTACCTGGTCTTAGGAATCAAGGAAATTTTCCTGATGACTAAAGAGACATTTAATCTAGGACTTGATGGATTAGTAAGAGTCAGCCAAAGGGACAGGGCAACAGCATTCTTGGTATTTGTGAGGCCCTGATGGAGAATAAAGCTTGTTATGTTTAAGGAACTACAAGAAGGTCATTGTGCTGAGCAGGGGAAGAAAAACTCTAAAATCCTCAGCAATGTCTATCTCAAATGTAATCCAGGGAAGAGCCAGAAGCAAGGCAATGAATAGAGAAAAAAGTGTAGAGGGCATCCTTTGGACTTTACAACTGTGGTAGCTATAGAGGCCCAGCCTCTATTTTCTTAGCCCTACTCCCCAAATTTTATATGTCCCAGCCTGCATGTTATGACAGCCCAAATGACAACTTATTTTAGAATAAATCTAAGTAACTAAGTCACAGATACATGAAGACACCTAAAGTGTTCTTAAAACCTAGCATATGCTTAATAAATGTTGTTTTAAAATTCACCTGTGTGGGAGGGTCACCTGTATTTCTTTGCATGCTGAAACAGGTTAAAGAGCGATCTTATTTGTGCTACTTAAGTTAACCCTGATATTTCTTTCTTTTTTTTTTTTTTACACCTCTTGGCATAGCCTTGATGCAAATTTCAGATATCCCATGATTTCAGCTGGAAGTTTTGGATTGTCATGTGACTTCAAAGAAAATTTAACCAGGTTGATGTCTCCAGCTAGGAAGTTGACACACTTCTTGGTTGACTTTTGGGAGAGTAATAATTTGTCATTCAAAACTTCTCACTGGACCACTGCATATGTTTTCAAGAATAATACCGAATCTGAGGACTGTTTATGGTAAGCAGAATTATTAACATTCTCTGGCACTTGCCACAGAAAGAAGCCATAGACTCATGGCCGGCCACTGGTTATTATCAGATGCACCTTTTCCATCTGTTACAGCAGTGGGAGTGGACACCAGCTCAGTCTCTTACAAATAAAAGCAAAGGGGCCAAAGGAAACATAGTATAATAAACATAATCAGCATGTGTTGCATTTTCAAACTCTTAGTAGTTTTCAAAGTACCTCCAAGATAGTTTTATTGATTTCCCACGGGAAACCCTCTGAAGAAAAGAGAACAGGTACTATGATCCCCATTTTACAGATAAGGAAATGAAAACCAGAAGTTTATGCTTTCACATTACTGTGCAAGACATGATACCAGAGAATGTGCATTCTGCCTATACCTACAATTAGTTAGAAACCATTTCTCTCATAATTTTTTTCAGAAGAATAAGTTGGGAGGTGGACAGAGAACAGGATAATGGGCACCACTGCCAAAATAAAATTGCAAGTTCCCTCTCCTTCAGCAAAGATAGCAGACAGGATCCTTTGATCAGGTTATTACAGAACCACAATGCTGATGCTGCTCAGTTCTGTAGTCTCTATCTACATAAGTACGCAGAAGACTAAAAGTGGGGCACCACTGGGTTTGCACATCTACGGAACTACAAGAATCAACTCAAAGCCCTTGTCCTAGAAACTTTGGGGTGAACTTAGAACACACATAAATTCATTTTACACAGGAGGAAAAATTATTTCTATCAACTTGGAATTTTTGTACTGTAGATTCAAAGGTTTCAACTTATCTGTGATAATGGGGCTGGTTTCTTCGGCAAATAGCAGAAAGCCATTATAAGGGACCCACCAAATTTTCTACTATGTGTACATATGCATGAAGATCCCCTAAAAGTTCCCCAATACTTTCACTAAATCAGATGTTCACACTCATGGAGTGTATTATCTACTGTGTTAATAGCAGACGTGAATTTTTGATTAACAAGTCCCAGGACAGATCTGTAAGCAATGAGCAAATGGCATGGAAGGCCATGAAGAAACAAAGCTGGATTCTTATAGTTTCTCTCTTTTTTTGTTCTAGGTACCTCAATGCTCTAGAGGCTGGAGTTTCTTATTTTTCTCAGAAACTTAACTTCAAAGAGGTGTTGAGAGGAAAGGCTGAGTTTCAGAAAATCTTAATGGACCAGCATAGGAAAAGCAATGGTATGAAGACATGAGATAATTTTGCCAACTTCTCCCTCACAGCTACCACTTCCTTATGAGTCATTTGACAAATCTATCAGACAGAGTTGTCATCATTACCTCAATTTACTTCTTATCTTTTGGGAGATCTGTAGTTGCATGCAACTCCATTATATTGTTTCTTTTGTTGATTAAAACTTTATCCTCTGGGAGAAATTAGAAAAGTGACATTGAACAAATATATTAACTTCATGAAAGTAATGATGATGTTAAAATCCAAATTTTATAAACCAAAATGACATCACAACCCATCATCACAGTAAACTGGTTTTTAAGTTCACCTCAATCCAATATGTTATTGGATTTGTGACAATTCCTCAAACATTCTGAACCCTGCTTCACTCATGACTAAGAGGATATGTTTACTGATATCTAGCCTCACGTAAAATTATAAAAGTAAGCAAAATACCTCACCTGCCTAATGATCTCTGAGTTACAAGTCAAGTGTGAAACACTAGTGGGATAAAGTCATCCTTCCTAAGTTATTAGGTGGTTTGCTTGGCAGGATTTCCTAGTGTCACTCAAATCATTATCTACATCATCATACTTATTAAGCATTTACCAAACTAAGAACCTACGATTTGCAAAATATTGACCAAGATATGAGGGGGAAAATAAAGTATTAAATTATTCATGTCCCTACAGGGTTTACAAGTCAACTGGGCAACACAATATTTTAAAAAATCTAATGAAGTATCTCCCAACTCCTCTTACTCATAAAGTCATGCATTTGGGAAGTGTAGCTGCAGTTATAGAATTGGATAGGACTCCATCACTGAGATCACTAAGACTAAGATCTGAGTTAAGAAGTTACAAAGCCCACAAAGAAAGTTGCTTAGGAAAACTTCATAAATTCTCACATTAACTTATACTATATCTTTTCCAACCATTTTACATATGGTGAGGTGAAAATAGTAACCAATGAAAATAGTTTTTGGAATACTCCAGTGTGGTATAATGGAATAAGCACGAACCCAGACTCATAAAGCTTGAATAGTAGAGCTACCTCTGTCATCTACTAGTTCTTTAACCCTTTGACATCTTGGCTTTGGTTTCCTTAAATCAATAAAATTAAGGGAATGGACCAGATCATTCTTTTTAAGATTCCATTTAGCTCTACTCTGACTCTGTGACTGTACATTTAAGAACAGGGGACGTAGTAATTTGAGGAATTGGTGTTAGTCTTAAAACAAACATACCATGGACAAACTGAGTTCAAATTCGGGCACCGGTTCCCTTTCTGTTTGTGTGTACACCATTGTATATTTCTCTCTTTGTCTTGCTCTCTCTCCTCAGTGATTATTGTGTGTGGTACGCCAGACAACATCTCCTCCATCAAGGGTGACCAGGAAGTGGCTGAAGACACTGTCATTATTCTAGTGGATCTATTTAAGTAGGTATAATATTTGGAAGAACTCTTCTCCTTTCAAAAAGAAAATACTCCAAGGATTTCCAAACGGCGCATTCTCTTTTCCTTTGCTTTGCACAGCCTCATATAGGTTCAGTATGATGATGATATATTTTTTTTAATCCTCACCTGAGGATATTTTTTCCATTGATTTTTAGAGAGAATGGAGGGGAGAGGGAGAGACAGAGAGAAACATCGATGTGAGAGAGACACATCAATTGGTTGCCTTCCACACGCCCAGGGCCAGGAGCCTGCAACCAAGGTACATGCCTTTGACTGGAATCGAACCGGCTAGGGCATGATGGTAATATTTTAATCTATGTTTTGTTCCTTTTCTAATGCCCTCATTCTTTTTTAATTAATCATGGCCTTAGTGGAGATGTATTCCTTTGACATCACTCTCATGTCTAAATAACAAAGTTTTATGAAAATCCCATTAAACCCACATGTCTATTTATCCTGGTGTCCAGCCTGACTTTAAGGTCTTTCTCAGGTAGTGATAAATCAGCTTATAACCCAATAATATTATCTATGAGAATGTGTGCCATATCTGTGCCTTCAAATGCTAATGGCCTTTGATCCTAGATTATTTTTCCTTCAGCCACCTTTGGTATGAGGAAAGTTCTAGTTAAATGAATTTAATTTATACAGTTATCCTTTGCCTACTGTGAATCATCGCTGGGTGGTGATCTTTTCCTTTGCATTTGTCTGGAACTAAAGAGAGAGAGGAAAAAAACAGAAATCACATTTATTTATTTATTTATTTATTTATTTAGATAATATTTATTTTGAGGATATTTTTTCCATTGATTTTTAGAGATAGTGGAAGGGAAGGGGAGAGACAGAGAGAAACATCGATGTGAGAGAGACACATTGGTTGATTGCCTTCTTCAGGCACCCCAACCGGGGCCGGGGATTGAATCCGCAACCAAGGTACATGCCCTTGACCACAATCGAACTCATGATCCTTCAGTCCACAGGCCAACACTCTATCCACTGAGCCGAACCGGCCAGGGCAATAGAACTACTTTTTATCACATCCCTCATTTTACCACTCATCTTTTAATGTGGAGACCCACAGACTAACTGTGTCAAGGTAATATGTGAGTCAGAATAAGCTTAAAGAGGGTTTCACTGGTATGGCTGTGTCCTTTGCCCCATCAGCTAGATCATCTGACTTCACTTATCTGACTGGATCATTAATCATTACCTTTCTATGTTCAGACCAGAAACTGTTACTGCATTAGCTCTTTCCTGTGTTTGCCTAGTCACTTCACCCACACTAAATGTACCTTTCACAGTGTTAAGAGAAGTGAAGCATATCAACTGGAGGCCTGTTTGACCACAAGTTGTTCATGAAGATAACCAATGTAACTTTTTAGCTGCAGCATACAGGAAGGAGGGCACATCATCAGCATTTCATCCCAACAACCACATTGATAGCTTCTTTCAGTAACTGTTTTGCCCTCTGGAAGGAGTCCTCAGTGTAACTTAGTTGGTGTAATTTTACCTTTAGCAAATCCTCAATCGACTGCCAAAGTGTTGGCAATCCTTTGTCGCTATTCCTGAAGGACACCTGACTATGTTTTGGGGAAATCATGAGATTCACTTAAAACTAGACATACATAACTTGGATTCAAATTCTAATTCTGACACTTCTGGTTCATTTGACTCTTGGGTATTACTTAGTATTTTGAGATTTAATCTACTCCTTTGTAAAATGAGAATAAAAATGTCCACTGTATTGGGGTACTTTTAGAATTGTATGTGCTAATATGAGCAAAAGATTCAAAACAGTTCTCAGTTCATAGATGTGTTCACCTCCTGTTTGAATATTAAATGATGGTCAGCCTAGTTATAGCAGTTCAAACATGTTAGATTCTTGACCTATTAAAACATTCAAATGGTTGGGAAGCTAGATACCATTTGCAGCACAGTCTCAGATATTTTGAGAGTCCACAGTGTGCCAAGAATTATCTTGGAGTTGAGGATACAAGGATCAATAAGCTCATGCCAAGAAGTTTACAGTAGTGGTAGAGAAAATGTTTAGCCCTTCCATTCTTATGTTTTACCATCTGAAAAGTAATTTTCACTCCTAATTTTTTATCATATCTTAATATCTCTAAATTGTTATGAGCACTTCAGGAAAAGAATGTTCCCAGATATAAACCAAGGGTCATTAAGTCTTGAAAGCAACCACTAACTTACGTGTCCAGAGCCCAAACACATTTCCCTGAAAGTGGAATATGTCTTCTGATCTTCCTTTCCCTTTGTGTATGTTACGTACAGCTGCCTAATTTCTCTTGTTCAACTTAGCAGGTTGAAAGAATTAAGCCTATATGGAGAAAGTAGACAGCTTTGCAGGTTACTGGAAAAAAGAACATGTTTTAAACTATTTCAAGACTACTATTTTAGTTTGAGTGAAATTGTAGGAGCTCTAGCTCTCTATTTGGAGGAACCTAATTTTCATGAGAAATTGTGCTTTTATTGTAGTAACCACTACTTCATGGACAATGTCACAGCCCCTGACTATATGAAAAATGTCCTTGTTTTGACACTGCCTCCTGAAGAGTCCATCCCAGATAGTTCTTTTCCCCAGGACTTATCATTGGTAAGCTTCATATATGCATACTATTATTTTCTTCTTCAAGGTTAAGATATTATTCTACTCTTTGGGACTAAAATTCTAAGATGAGCATTATTTTTTTACTCATTTCAATTCATTCAACAAGTGTTAATTGAGACCTACTAGGTGTAATTGCAAGATTCCTGCTACTAAAACTCTTACTATGGGTCAGTGTGTTAGGCTCTAGACCAGCTGTGGGCAAACTATGGCCCGCGGGCCGGATCCGGCCCGTTTGAAATGAATAAAACTAAAAAAAAAAAAGAAGACCATACCCTTTTATGTAACGATGTTTACTTTGAATTTATATTAGTTCACACAAACACTCCATCCATGCTTTTGTTCCGGCCTCCGGTCCAGTTTAAGAACCCATTGTGGCCCTCGAGTCAAAAAGTTTGCCCACCCCTGCTCTAGACCAGCACAGCAGTGTGCACTTCTGTAACATCAGAATGGAAGTGATCATGTGGGAAGATAGAAGGCGCCCTGCTAACTTAGGGGAGGTGGAAATAAACAATGTAAAATAAGTGAAGTTTTCCTACATCCTAAAGCAACTTTCTGCTGGCACCCATATCAAATTCTATCTTTAGAAATATACACAGGAGTGGGCAAAAGTAGGTTTACAGCTGTTCATATGCAAAATACAACAATTACTAAACAATAATACATAAATAAAATCTGTGTTTTGCATACTCACAACTGTAAACCTACTTTGCCCATCCCTGTATTCCTAAGTAAAAACATTGTTATCTATTGTGATTAGGTTAACCATTGTCCACATTTATCCAAAAGAGTCCTGGTTTATGCCTCTTATCCAAGCATTTCATCTGGTTTAGCATTTGTCTCTAAAAAAAAGATGCTCCATTTGGACATCAAATCATGGTCACCTAAGTATAATGAGGGGCTCCTGACACTAATACCACTTGGTCTTGGTCAGACACTGCACTTTAATGTGATCAAATTCATCAGATGTATTCTGCACTCAGAGATACTTGAGAGCAGTTTTGGAGTGGGAAGAGGAGGGAAGGAGCAGTCCTGAGGACCATGAACACTGCCTTCAAGGAAGTAACTGGAAGCAGTTATACTTCTTTCCCATGAGGATAAAATATCTCATTTCAATCAGGAAAGAAAACATACAGCATTTTCATAATCCTTGTAAGATTTTACAGAAAATTAACGCTTGCAGTTTATCTCTGAGTGCAGAATACATCTGATGAATTTGATCACATTAAAGTGCAGTGTCTGACCAAGACCAAGTGGTATTAGTGTCAGGAGCCCTTCATTATACTTAGGTGACCATGATTTGATGTCCAAATGGAGCATCTTTTTTTTAGAGACAAATGCTAAACCAGATGAAATGCTTGGATAAGAGGCATAAACCAGGACTCTTTTGGATAAATGTGGACAATGGTTAACCTAATCACAATAGATAACAATGTTTTTACATTGTTGGGTTGGCAAGCAAAGGCCAGGCCCGAAGAGCTCTATAAAGCAAGTTGGGTATCTTTGGAGTATCACAGTTTTTCCTGCACTAGCAGTGCTAAGCCTCTGTTTTACAACCCTGCCAAAATTAGGAGTGACACCCCCTTTTGGGTAGGGCTGGGTCTCAACTGGATTCTTTTCAGCTCATGAAATCATGAAATGCTGATTTCAGCAAAAAGCACTGAAACCAATTAGAGGTGTTTTATTCTCCCCCCCCCCGTTATATTTTCTAACATATATTCATCAGGGTATAGTATTCAGGTATCACTTGCACAAGTATCACTTGCATAGCTTCGAGGGTCTGGCAAAAGTGTGCAATCCAAAATACCCAAGCTGACAGAACTCACTTGGCTTCAGTGGGGCACAGAGCTTTTAATCCATAGCCTTACTCTGTGAAGACCAGCATATAATTGTTGCAAGGGAGTTTTAACCCTCTCTTTTATTTATTTATTTGATTTTTAAAGTTGATTTGTAGAGAGAGAGGGAGAGGGAGAGAGAAACATCGATGTGAGAGCAAAACATCAACTGGCTGCCTCCTACATGTCCCCTGCCAGAGATCAGCCCTCAACCTAGACATGTGCCCTGACACAGAGTCCAACCAGCAACCTTTCAGTGTACAGAACAATGCCCAACCCACAGGGCAACACCAGCTAGGGCCTGACCCTCTCTTTTTTGTTCCCCTGGGCAGATATTTATGGCCTGAAGTAACACCCAATCAGAACTGTCTTCAGCCCAGCCAGTGTGGCTCAGTGGTTAAGTGTCAACCCATGAACCAGAAGGTCAGGGTTCAATTCCTGGTCAGGGCACATGCCCAGGTTGTGGGCTTGATCCACAGTAGTGGGTGTACAGGAGGCAGCCTATCAATGATTCTCTCTCATCATTGATGTTTCTATCTCTCCCTCTCCCTTCCTCTTTCTGAAATCAATAAAAATATATTCTTTTAAAAAATAAAGAAAAAGAACTGCCTTCAAATCAAGCTCAATACCTTCCAATCAAAACTGCTCCTGTCCCATTCAGGATGTTCAAAGGCAGGGAGATGTTTTTTGGTTGTTCTCTTTTACTCTTTAAGGAAAACATTAAACTGCAAGCGTTAATTTTCTGTCAAATCTTACAAGGATTATGAAAATGCTGTATGTTTTCTTTCCTGATTGAAATGAGATATTTTATCCTCATGGGAAAGAAGTACAATTGCTTCCAGTTACTTCCTTGAAGGCAGTGTTCTCGGTTTATTGATCCCAAGAGAAGACAGAATTGTGACATAGTGATAATACAGAGCCCCACCCCAAGGAAATATTAGCCCAAAGTCTCCGTTTCTACAATTCCCCCAATATTCAGTTACTCTGCTGACCCCAAGAACATTTTGCTCCTGGCTCAAGACCATAATCTCTTTTTTAGAACTAATTTTAAGATTTTTCTTTCTTGTTCAGGAGTTAAATGACTTTTCTCTTGCCTATTTGAATGGAATCTTGCTCTTTGGACATGTGCTACAGACATTTCTTGGGAAAGGAAAAGAAGTTGACACCGACAAACTTGCTCATGCTTTCAGGAACCTCACTTTCGAAGGTACTGGTCACCTACGAGCAAACAACAACACTTAACGCTCTCTACAGAAAGCTGAAGACATATGGACTTTGGGAAGCAAAGAGGGGGTTTGGCAATAAGTGGATCAACAGATAAATACCTTTGAACTTAATGGGAGGTAGACATCATTGTATAGAGTTTGGGGGTGCTGTTATCAATAACTAGGCCCCAGTTCATGCTTTAGAATTTCAGAATCTTTGAATATCAAGGAAAGAGCATGTAGCTCAGGCCCTGTAGTTATGAACAAGCTCATCGCAGATCATTTTGAGCCATGATGTCCTGACTGTGCTTGGAGATTAGCAAGAAGAAAAGTGCCTGTAGTTTGATTTTGGTCCTTCCATACTTCTCTTTCTGTCCTGAAATCAGGGACCCTGTGTTACCCCTCCAACTCAAAACATCTCATAACAACACCATCCAACATTTCACAACGCTTGTCCTTCTGAACTATAGGAATCAGCATTTTCTTTCCACACAAGCTTCTATTGAAACTCTTTTCATTTCCCAGATCTCATCCAGTTACCATGAAAAAAATGTCTTTTTAGATTAATGTATATTAAGTAAAAGACAAATGATAGTTGACTTTTCTAACTTGCCTTAAATCCTTACTCTGGAAAACTTTTATCCTACTGCAGAGTGAGTCTTCTCTTGACTTCAGAGGGTGGCAAACACCCAGCACTAAAGCTTGAGGGCTGCATCAATGTCTATAGGATATGACAAGGATAGGAAGAGATTGCTTCTGCACCCCTGAAGAAGCAGGGAGGCAGGGAGGAATAATGCCTTATTGATTTTTCTCCTGTGTCCCAACTTCTTCTAGGTACTTTATGTACATTATTTCCCCCCTAGTTTTTAAAATTGTGGTAAAACACATAATATTAAATATACGATCCTAATCATTTTTAAGCATAGTCCAGTGTTATTAAGTTCATTCATATCATTGTGCAACTATCACCATCACCTATTGCCAGAACTTTCATCTTTTAAACTGAAATTCTATACTTATTAAACAATAATTACCCTTTGTCCCCTACTCCTACCTCCTGGCAACTACCACTCTACTTTTTGTCTCTGTGATTTTAACTATTCTATATATCTCATATAAGTGGAATCAGACAGTATCATTCTTTTTGTGATTGTATTATTTCACTTAGCATAATGTCCTCGAGGTTCAATTCATGTTGTAAATGTCACAAAGGATTCTTAGTTGATGGTTTTTTCTTTTAGCATTTTGAATATATCATCCCACTGCCTTCTGGCCTTCAAAGGTTCTAATGAGAAACCAGCTAACAATCTTATTCAGTATCCTTTGAATGGGACAAATCACTTCTCTTACTGCTTGCAAAATTCTCTTTGTCTTTGGCTTTTGACAGTTTTATTATAATGTGTCTTGGTGTGAGTGTCTGAATTCATCTTACTTAAAGTTTATTGAGCTTCTTGCATATTTATAATCCTGTCTTTGATCAAATTTGGGATGTTTTTGGACATTATTACTTCTAATATTCTTTCTTTTCCTTCTTTGCCTGTGTTGGTCTGCTTGATAATGTTCCACAGGTCACTTTTCTTCAATCTTTTCTTCTTTCTGTTCCTCAGACTCAATAATTTCCATTATTCTATATTCATGTTTGCTGATTCTCCTGCCTGCTCAAATCTGCCTTTGAATTCCTCTAGTGAATTTTTCATTTCAGTTATTGTACTTTTTACTTCCAGAATTTCTTTTTGGTTTCTTTTTAAGATTTTCTTCTCTTTAGTGTTATTTTCATTTTGTTTAGGCATCGTTTTCTTGAATTTATCCATGTCTTCTGAGTTCTTTGAGCATATTTAAGATCATTGTTTTAAAGCCTTTGTCTAACAGATCCACCATCATGTCTTTTTCAGGGACAGTTCTGTTATCTTACCTTTTTTCTTTTGAATGGGCCATATTTTCTTTTTTCTTTGTATGCCTTGTGATTTTTTTCAAATATATTTTTTATTGATTTCAGAGAGGAAGGGAGAAAGAGAGAGATAGGAACATCAATGATGAGAGAGAATCATTGGTTGGCTGCCTCCTGCATACCCTCTACTGGGGATCAAGCCCGCAACCCGGATATGTGCCCTTGACTAGAGTTGAACCTGGGACCCTTCAGTCTGCAGGCCGGCGCTCTATCCACTGAGCCAAACCAGTTAGGGTGTGCCTTGTGATTTGCTGTTGTCATTGAAAACTGGATATTTGAATATAATAACCTGATAATTCTGAAAACAACATGGGGAATTTCCCATTCCCCAGGGTCTGCTGGGTTTCATTTCTGCTTTTTGTTTTTATTGTTGTGGGCTGTCTATGCTGAGGAATAAACTTAAGGCCTTCTCAGTTCTTTTCTGAGCTTCTGGCTTCTCCTGCACATGCCCAGTGCAGTTGCTTGAATGTCCTAGCCATCAATGTCTGTCCCTCAAAGGGAAAAAAAAGAAAAAGAGAATATAAAGGGCACTAACCCTTTACACCCTCTGAAAGTCATGTTAGTAGAGGGGTGGGGTTTACAACAATGAGGGGAGATGCAGCAACAATGGCCACCACCTCTTTGTCTGCACCTCTGTGATCATAAGCAGCAATCAGCAATTAGAGCACAGATCCCCAATATCTTAGACAACAGGGTCTTTCTTTTTTGCTCATCCTGGTTCCTGCAAATGGTGTGTGAACTGCTGTAGGAACACACGCACAGCTGTCTGCCACAGGACTGAGGGGTGGGAGAAAGTACTGCTGCTGTGCTAAGAGCCGAAATGGATGAAAATTAATCACAACTTACCATCTAAGCCCAGAGTTCCAGAATAGTTATATCAGACAGATTCTGCCAGTGCAATTGTTGTCTAGATTTCTGGTGCTTCCTACTCTACCATCTTCTCAGTATCATCCTATGTGCATTCTTTTTTTTTTTTCAAAGATGTTTTTATTGACTTTAGAGAGAGACAAAGGGAGAGGAAGAGAGAGGGAGAGAAACCGATTGATGTGAGAGAGAAACCAATTGGTTCCCTCCCTCAGACACCTGGACCAGGGATCGAACCAGCAACCTGGGTATGTGCCTGACCAGGAATGCAGCTGGTGACCCTTCAGTACACAGGACAGCACCCAAACTACTGAGCAGCACCAGCCAGGGCTATGTGCATTCTTAATTAATTTTATCATATCGTTATCCTGATCAAGCAACTTAATGGGCACTAACACAGGCTTAGAGCCAATAGACATTTATGTCCTAAATTAGCCATCTACTAGCTGTACAACCTGGAGCAAGTTATTTAAATCTCTAATCTCAGGTTTCTCAGCAATAAGGTGGAGATAATAGTTTCTGCATCATGGTATTTTAGGAAGAATAAAATGATAAATGTATATAAACCACTTAGCACAGAGACTGGTATCGTAAATGCAAAATAAATATTAGCTATTATGTTAAACCATGTGAATTTGCTGATATTTGATCATATTTTTACCTAAACAGCCATTTCATAAGTTTGTTGTACTGTTGTCATTTCATAGATGAGAAACCAAGACACAGAGAACTTAATTTTCTCAATATATTCAAACTTTATGTGATAGTGAATGGATTTTGAACTTCTTACAATCTTAAGTTAGATTGTGCAATGACTGTGATACTTACTAGCTTAGTAAATATTCTTAGCAAAAGCTTCTCACTAATAATCAAGAGTAATCTATTATATTTAGAGCCACTCTAAATGCAATGAAAAAGATTTTTCCTTCTAACTAAATAACACCCGTCATAAAAATATTCTTCAGAGATTTCAGGCCAAGGACCAGTCCAGGTGCCCTCAGATTAGATAATTTAGGTCAACTATTTTTCAGTACAATAAAGCAATTTGAACCTATGTTATACTCTCTGTCAGGATCTAACTGGTCTTTCCGTAAGTAAGTTAACAAATGCCTCTAACTCTTTCTGATTTTGCTCTAGGGTATAAGGGCCCTGTGACTTTGGACATCTATGGGGACATCGACAATACTATGGTGCTTCTGTATACCTCTGTGGAGACCAACAAAGTACGTCTGACTTCTTATCAAGAACTCGGGTTGAAGTGATTGGCTGAGGAGGGATAACTTGGGAGGCTATTAATAGTGAAGGAATTAAAGAAGTATGTAAACGTAACTTTTGGAAGTTAGTTTATGTCTGATTCACAATTATGCTCCACTTAGGAAAGCATTCCTTAAGCATTTTGACCCACTGAACTTTTTATCCACTCTACTTAATATAAAAATATGCCACTCAGAATATATTGATAAAAAGACCAAACTTTTGATAGGATATCAATGAGAGGATGACAGTTCTCTTGTAAGAATTATTTATTCATTTCCACAACTGAAAATTTCAGTAAAACTTTCTCCTGTTCTCTCTATCTGAACTCTCATGAAAATTATTATGAATTCCTCTGACACATATGAACAGCCCTATAATGCTTTGCTTTTATTCACATTGTGTATGTCTTTTCTTCTCTCCAACTTAGTAGGTTCTTTAAAGAAAAGGAGTGGGTCTTACCTTTCCGTGTCTCCAGTACTTAGCTTCTTATCTGGCACACAGTTGATGGCTGATCAGCATTTAATTTCAAAATCAAAATGTCTGTTTTTATGTCACCCAAAATAGTGCTCATCTCAAAACCCAAAGTTTTCAGTTACCATATTAGACCTTGAATATAATCCAATATTGAGCATACAATCAATGGAAATACCTTAAAAAAAAGACCCCCTCCATGCTTCAATTACTAATAGTAACAACAAAGATAATTACACCCCTTCTAAGTTATTTGCTCCTGGGATGAGAGGCAGGTGCTTGTGGTAAGATCCTATGTCAGCCTCAGGACTGCTCTTCAAAATAAAAAATGTTGTCCTGTGCACTTATTCTCTCTGAAGGCAAATGTAGTTGAAATTTTCAAGTAATCTAATGCCAACAATTATGCTTTGTAATACGTGTATATGTGGAAACCAGGGGTTCCTTTTCAAAACCTAGGGCTATAGATATATTATTCTACTACAGGCCCAGTGCAAGAAACTTGTGCACAGGGGGAAGGAGGGGAGTGCCCTCAGCCTGGCCTGCACCCTCTCGCAATCCGGGACTGCTGGTTCCTAACTGCTCGCCTGCCTGCCTGCCTGATTGCCCCTAACCACTCTGCCTGCCTGCCTGCCTGATCCCCCATAACCACTTGCCTGCCTGCCTGATCGCCTCTAATCACTCTGCCTGCCTGATCGCCCCTAACCATTCACCTGCCTGCCTGATAGCCCCTAACTGCCTCTGCCTCGGCCCCCGCCACTGTGGCTTCATCCAGAAGGATGTCCAGAATGACGTCTGGAAGGTCATTGGGCTATCTGGTCTAATTAGCATATTATACTTTTATTATTATAGATATCCAGAGTAGGTCTCAGTAGAGATTCAATGTATCATACCCTAATATGTAAGATATTTCCTATTTTCAACACATGCAATTATAGATTCTGCTCTCAAGTTAAGAGTATATTTTTGAGGATGTAAAACTTTTGTCCAGAATGTTTTGAGGCAATAGTGGTGAATTCAGAAAGATGGTTATTTTTTAGATGTCTCTTAAAAGCTGATTTAATATGTGTAACAGTAATTTAAGAATACATTAATATTTCCATTGTCAAATTACTTGAAAAGAAGTCTTTTCTCTTAAAAATCTAGTGTTGTGTACAAGAAAGCACATTAGAGGAAAGGGATAGAAGAGATCAGAAAAAAAATTTTTTTTTCAGAAAATTTTGTAATTGACAGAATGTAAGCAATGTAGAATTATTTCAGAGCACCTTGACATGTATCAAAATGGATAATGGTTTTTGCTGTGGTGCATTTTCTCAAAACACCATTTTCAATAGCAACTTAATATTGTGGAAAACATTGGTGCTTCACTTCTCAAGTGACTTGGAGCTAGCCTTTTAATTTATCTTAGCCTCTATTTATTTTATTTTATTTTATTATTTTTGCTTCTCTTTACAGTTTAAGTTTTATTTTCAATGGCAGTTTACATTCAATATTATTTTGTATTAATTTCAGGTATACAGCACAGTGGTTAGACAATATACTTTACAAAGTGAACCCCCACCCCCAATATTTCAAATATTCCCCTGGCACCATGCATAGTTATTACAATATTATTGACTATATTTTCTATGCTGTACTTGGGACTCTTTATGACTACCAATTCCTAGTTCTTAATCCTTTCACCTTTTTCACCCAGTTTCCCAACCCCTCTGGAAACTATCAGTTTGTTTTCTGTATAAGTGAAATCATACGATATTTGTCTTTCTATAACTGACTTATCTCAGTTAGAATAATACCCTCTAGGTCCATCTATGCTGTTGCAAATGGTAAGATTTCATTCTTTTTATTGGCCAAGTAATATATATATCACAGCTTTTTTATCCAGTCAGTCTATTGATGGGCGCTTGCATTGCTTCTATACCTTGGCTATTGTAAATAACGCTGCAATGAACATAGTGATGCATATATTCTTTCAAATTAGTGTGTTGGGTTTCTTCTAATAAATACCCAAAACTGGAATCACTGAGTCATAAAGCAGTTCCATTTTTAATTTTTTGAGGAATTTTCATACTGTTTTTCATAGTGGTTGCCCCAATCTGCATTCCCACCAACAGTGCATTCTCTCCAACACTTGTTGTTTGCTGATTTATTGATGACAGCCATTCTATCAGGTGTGAGGTGATATATCATTCTTGTTTTAATTTGCATTTCTCTGATAATTAGTGACATTGAGCATCTTTTCATATGTCTGTTGGTCTTAGCCTCTATTTTAACATTTGTAAAATGAAAGGCTCAAGCCAGTTCTCTAAAGACCAAAGAACCTGTGTTGGGTAGACATAGATTATGGTCATAAAACTAATTGGCCCACATGGAGCTTAAATCCACATTTGTGCTGTGAAGCAATAATGAATCCTACCAAGCTTCCCCATGGCTGGTTAACATCGTGTTTCACTGAGAATGCTACTATGAAATTCAGATGTCCTTGGACAGGATGGTCAATTTCATCAGAACTTGTTCTAAAATCTCTTTTTCTGTTCATCCTTCTTCTTTTTCATGTCCTGACACAGTACAAAGTACTTTTGACCTATGACACCCACACAAATGTCACTAGCCCAGTGAATAACAACCCCACATTCATCTGGAAGAACCATAAGCTTCCTAAGGATACTGAAGAACGGGGTAAGATATCCTCAGTGAATTTTCTTTTCTTAAAATTGTGTGTGTGTTTTCTGATAAGGAGAGTAAACTCTATAGCTTATGCAACTAGCCTGTGTTTTTCGTTTTGTTTGTTTTATTTATTGTCTGAATTATATTTTCCAGGTTTATAAATGTGGACTTTACTTCCCCGTACAATGAATGATATTACAGTTCTGATCAAACACCAAAAACAATCTCTATTCTAACTTAGCATACCTATCTTTAATATGTGTTCCATCCTCCCTTTGACATAAATTATCTTTGACAATTGGAAAAATGAAATATATTCTTACTCCTTCTATATTTTACTGCAGTAAACTCAGAGAATGCCTATATTTGATGTCAGCAGGCTGAGCCTGGCCTCCAAAGTCTCCCCCATCCCCTCATAGGACACATACTTGTTTATAATGATGGTTACCCATGATAAGGTCTTATCATGTTTTGGAAAGCCCTACCAGGCCCAGGCCTTCACCCATGACAGTGTCAGTGCAACTGTATGACATTGGCTTCCTCTCAACAGGACCAGCCAGGTAGACCTGGCAGCAAGGTCTCAGGTCAGTCTGTGCTTGATGGAGTTGGAAAAGGCTTATCACAATGAATAGCTATTTCATGCTACTAATCTATTTTTTGAAGGAAAAAAAAAAGCTTAAATTTGGACAGATATTTATGCCCAAAGATGCAAAAAAAGAAGAAATAACATGAATAAAATGACTAACAAAATTAGGATATAATCGTAAATGGAGCATCATGCAAGCAATGAAAAATAATTATTACAGCCTGGCCAGCCTGGCTCAGTGATTGAGGGTTGACCTATGAACCAGGTGGTCACATTTCAATTCCCAGTCAGGGCACATGCCCAGGTTGTGGGCTCAATCCCCAGTAGGGGGCATGCAGGAGACAGCCATTCAGCGATTCTCTCTCATCATTAATGTTTCTATCTCTCTCTCCCTCTCCCTTCTTCTCTGAAATTAATAAAGATATATTTTTAAAATACTTATCATTATTACAAAGAATTTTTTCTTTTGATATATTGGAGTGATACTGGTTAACAAAATTATACAGATTTCAGATGCACAATTCTGTTACACATCATCTATACACTGTATTGTGTGTTCACCATCCCAAGTTACAAAGAATTTTAAATGGCATGGGAAAACTTATGATATGAAGTAATAGGAAAATACAGCCTTTTAGTTAAAGAGATTCTAACTTTGTAAAACAATATATAGAAATAAGAGTGTAAAAAATATGCTAAAATGTTAACCTCTGAGTAATAGGATCCTAGAAGATTTTTCTTGCTTTTCTATGTTTTTCTTAATGTTCTACAATGACTCTGTATTAATTTACCATTTTTAGATACTAAAAATTTTAAACTAGAAATATGTCTATCCCAACCTTATTCTGCCACCAGAAACTCTGAAAAGTTTATCTGACTTAAAGAGAACAGTTCTGGTTTCATGAGTTTGCTTATGTTAAAGCTATAATAACTTTGTTTCTAGTCCTCTTGAGCTCTATGCGTCAAGTTTAGTTAAATTGATCTCAGTATGTTTTTATTCAATAGGCATGAGCAGTTGACTTAAGCAAAGAGGAAGGTGGGAAGTGGGGACCCCATTCTTCTAAACAGTAAATAATCATTAGCTGACTTCAGATTTATTCTTATCGGTTTTTAAAGTTGGTTTCTCTAGCAAGGTGTGCGTTTGGTTTTTCTAGAACCATCTTCAAGTTTCCTAAGTTTTTTTATTTTTATAGATATATCTTTTTATTGTTGACAGCCTTACAGATGTCCCTCACTTCCCCCCTTACCTCCCTTCACTGAACCCCTTCCTCCCCCGGCAAGGCCGTCAACACTCTGTTGTCTGTGTCCATGGGCTATACATATAAGTATATAAGTTCTTTGGTTTATCTCTTCCCTTACCGCCGCCACACACACACACACACACACACACTGAGATATGTTAGTCTGCTCCATGCCTCCATGCCTTGGGTCTTATTTTGTTGGTCAATTCATTTTGTTCACTAGATTCCACAAATCAATGAGATCATGTGATATTTGTTTTTCTCTAATTGGTTTATTTCACTTAGAATAATCAATAGGATGCCTCCTGCACACCCCTACTGAAGATTGAGCCCACAACCCAGGCATGTTCTCTGACCAGCAATCAAACCTGGTTCTTGGGTTGACACTGAACCACTGAGCAATACCAGCCAGGCTCCAGCTTCCTAAGCTTTAAACCAAACTTGACTTCTGAAATATATCTCTGCTTTCTATATATACCCATGCTCTAGGCTTCAGCAACTTTCTACTTCTTCCTTTTGTAACTTTCTGAGTTAAAATTATTTTTTCTTTTTCCCTAATTATAAGTCTCAAGGACAATGTTAGGTTCAGAGTCTTAATATACCTCGTTAAGAGGTTGTAGATGTTTGGGTTATTGAATAGAAGATCTGTGTTTTGGAAAAAAGTGCTGAACTTCTCAAAAAGTATTTTTAAGAGAGTTCTCATTTACCTAAAAGAGATCACATTAAATATTTATATTCTATTGGACAGGGATATTGATCGCATCATCCTGGGCAACTTCACTTCATCCTCAATTAACTAGAAAATTCAGTTACCCAGAGCGTTTCATTACTTAACTGTTACTATATTCAGTTTTAAACTCAATCTTCAAATAGTATGCAAATAAGACATTCATGTCTGGTTACTACCAACTAAGTACAAACATTTCTTCTGGCTCTAGCCGGTTTTGCTCAGTGGATAGAGCGACAGCCTGTGGACCAAAGGGTCCCAGATTTGATTCCAGAAAAGGGCATGTACTTTGGTTGCAGGCTCCTCTCTGGCCTGGGCCCTGGTAGGGGCTCATGCAGGAGGCAACCAATCAATGTGTTTCTCTTACATCGATGTTTCTCTCTGTCTTTCTCTTTCTCTTTCACTCTCTCTAAAAAATCAATGGAAAGATAGTCTCAAGTGATATCTCAAGTGAGGATATCTTTAAAAAGAAATAATAATAATAAAAACATTTCTTCTGGATATTACAAGTATCACTGTCTTTTCATTCATTCAATAATGATTTACTTAGTGCCAGGCAATGTCCTTAGCACCTGGGACACCGCAATGGACAACACAGAGTAGGTTTCTGTTCTCCTCCAAGCCTTCATCACCTGCCTCCTGGGATATGATAGCTTTCCCAGACTTCCTGCTTCAGTCCTGCCTCCTGCCCCTTCCATCCAACCAGCACCACCACCAGAGTGACAGCATGAATCCAGTCACATTGCTGCCCGGTTGCTAATACTGCAATTAGCAGCTCCACTTTACCTACCGAATAAAGTCCAAATGACTTGTTATTGCATGAAATTTCCATGCCCTTCCTACTCTTCAGCCTTATGTTTCATTTTACCTGAATCCCTCCCCAACTCTCTCAACCTCCTCCTACTTCCTTAAGAAAGGGTTTGCAACTTCATGCCCCTGTGTCCTTATCGATGCTTCTCCCTCTGACCAAAAGTTATCACTACCCAATATGATTGGAAAACAACCACTCATCCTTAATATGTAACGTGAACTCCACTTTTCCTAAGCTTGTTCTTAGCATCTCAGGAGGGTATTGATCTTGCCCTTGATCCTACCAGGCTTCTAGCATAATACTTATATCACACTTACTTGTTTACACATATTTTTATTCCATACACTATATGTGTAGGGTCTATTCTTTATATCTCTTTGCCTCAACACAATGCCTTGGGAAGGAAAGAAGAAAGGAAGGAAGGAAGGAAGGGAGGGAGGAGGGAAGGAAGGAAGGAAGGAAGGAAGGAAGGAAGGAAGGAAGGAAGGAAGGAAGGAAGGAGAAAACTATAAATATGTGTCTAGTCAGTATAATCTATACAATGTTAATTTTAATCAGTTTACTTCTCTAAGTATAAATACCTTCCTCTGTTAAATCAGGAGGTTTAACAAATCCCAAAGTTCTTTCCAATTATCATGTCCTATGACCTTGGGGTTATAAACTCAATTTACATTGTGACCCATTTTTTTGAAGTTTTAAATTGAGTTTATTAGAGTGACACTGGTTAACAAACCATACAGGTTTCAAGTGTACAACTCAACAATGGGTGCATACTGCATTGTGCACCCATTGCTCAAAGTATAGTCTCTTTCCTCCACCATTTATCCTCCCTTTGCCCTCTTCTACTTCCTCTATCCCCTGGAACAACTCTACTTTGTTTGATTCTCATATAAATACTGAAAAGAAGGCACTATTATTCTAATACACACTTTGCAAATGAGAAAATCAAGAGAATAAAATTTTAAGTAGCTTTGATTACAGTCATTTTTGTAAGCTCATTTAAAAAACTGGAAATATTCATTGAACTTTGCATTCTATGTATTTGAAGTATTTATTTGGACAGAAAAATCATCTCAGACTAGAAAAAATAAAACAATAAAAGTTATCATTGTGATCCATTTAAATAAAATGTGATAACCTTAGCAGCCACCAGAAGGCAGCAGAAGCTTAAACTTAGAGCTAATGTGATCCTGTGACTTATCAAACAAGCAAAACTACAAAGTATGTTGAATTAAAAATTACAAATTGCCAATTATAAAAATAGTCATGGGGATGTTAAGTACAGCATGGGGAATATAGGCAATAATATTGTAATAACTATGTATGTTGTCAGATGGGTACTAGACTTATCTGGGTGATAACTTCATAAATTATATAAAGGTCTAATCACTGTGTTATACATCTGAAACTAATATAATATTGTGTGTCAACTGAAATTGAAAAATAAATTTTTAAACAAATTTTAAAATGGAGTAAGAATATATTTCAGCTTGCCAGTTGTCAGTTTTACATAAAATTTAAAGTATCATTTTAATTTGTATTTAATGTACATCTTATATTTAGTGCCATGAGATGGTCACACTGTGAGAAACAGATAGGAATTGAGATGGGTTGAGGGCCCAGCACATGGGAGTCCCCCATGTGCCTTCCAACCTATGCTCTAGGGCAGCGGTTCTCAACCTGTGGGTCACGACCCCTTTGGTGGTTGAACGACCCTTTCACAAGGGTCGCATAAGACCATCCTGCATATCAGATATTTACATTATGATTCATAACAGTAGCAACATTACAGTTATGAAGTAGCAATGAAAATAATTTTATGGTTGGGTCACAACATGAGGAACTGTACTTAAAGGACCAGAATGTTGAGAACCACTGCTCTAGGGGATGTGTAATTTTAAAAGACTGATGAGTAGAATCACCTGCCCTGTTGAAATTGTATTTCTCATACTCACTTTTTGAAAATAACATAAGCATGGGAATTTATTTTAAAACTAGAGGCCCAATGCATGAAGATTCGTGCAAGAATAAGGCCTCCCTTCCCCTGGCTGCCAGCACCGGCTTCCCTCCAGCACCGGGGACCTGGGGCTTCGCTCTGGCCACTGCCTTCTGCCTTCATTCTGGGCCGGAGCCACCTTCCACCTTTGCTTCCGGCCCTGCCGCCCTCCTGTAGCTCCCTCCATCCCCTTCCCCCCTCCCCCCTCAGAGCAAGCATTCTGACCTGCCCCGGCCACTCCACGCTTGCATGCACACGCTGCCCAGAGGCCTGGAGCAGCCAGGGCGGGGCGGAATGCCTGCGTCATCACCATGGCGACAATGCATGCATCCCTGCTCAGCCACTGCCATCTTTGTCACATCAATTTGCATATTCCTTCCTTATTGGCTGTGGGCACTGCCATCTTTGTCGCAAAGTGACAGTCAATTTGCATATTCCATCTTTATTAGATAGGATAACCAAATCTTAATCTGTAATAGTGTATGATGATATTTTTTAATATTTTTTTTCAATTACAGTTGACATACAATATTATATTAGTTTCAGGTGTACATCTCATACTCGCTTTTGTTTTCTGGCTAGGGGTATGAGAATGATGGCTGCCACAATGGTGGTGGTGGTGATGGAAACAGTAATAAACAGAATTCACCGAAGTCAGATGTGCCCACAATGCAACTTCAACTCCAATCTATTAATTTATTTCTGCCCTGGGGAGAATACTAGTAGAAATTCAGAGCTCACATTTTCACTGTTAAAAGTTTCCCTTTAGCTCTGGCTGGTCTGGATCAGTTGGTTGGGCATCAGCCCATGCAACAAAAAGTTGTTGCTGATTCTTCCATGCCAGGACACATGCTCAGGTTGCAGGCTTAATTCCTGGTAGGGAGCATGCAGGAGGCATCTGATCAATGTTTTGCTCTCACCTATCTCTCTCTTTATCTCTCCCCCTACCTCTCTCTCTCCTTCTCCTCTCTCTCTAAAAATCAATTTTAAAATCTTTTTTTAAAAAGTTTCCCTTTAGCAGAAATTTTTTGTCAATATATTTATTGGGTATCTTTGTAATTGTCATTGTCATTGTCATTGTCGTTGTAATATGCATGAGCTTCTAGTATTGTTCTAGTAACTATCTATAAAACTTCATGCTTCCCAACTTTGTAAGATGAAGATGGTAGTGTCTATTTTTTCTTCTATCTCTTTCTCGGCTCCCAAATTCTCCTGTAATTTTCTTTAATCTGTCGGGGTTGACCCACTGTATTTGGTAACCATAATGAAGCCCTCTGTCATTTACATTTAAGTTGATATTCTATAAGTTGAAAACATTATTATTATTATTATTCACATGAAGTCAAATAGCATGCCATGATATTTTTTTCTATACAGCTCCAGTGTCTCCCCTTTGTGCCACACCTACTAAAAAATAATAATAATAACTTTTTTTAATTGCAAATTCTCAAAATCTGGCCAAATTTTACTTTGTTTCATTTTTAAACTATGTCTTATTTGAACATTTTCCCCTAGAATTTCTGGGTCTCTTATTTTTGCTGTAAGAAAAAACATGTCTCCTTCACCATATTGCTATTGTCTTCCAGCTTCTTACACATTCCCATCTATTGCTTGGAATCCATTCCATTTTTTCCATTTTCAACCCACTAGCTTCTTAGTCTCATAGAGACCTATTGTGGCTTAAATGAACCACGAGTTTCTTGTCGTTTGTAATTGTTATTGTCCTTCTCCATCTAGCTAGTCCTCTGCAAACTCAGATTCTGCTTCATTGTTCCTTTGTGTTGGATCCACATTGTCCAGGGTTCCACTTACTCTTCTGTGAGCCTCCCACATTACCCCACCTACATAACTCCACCCACGTACTGGTGTTCTCATAAATATAATTAGTGACGTTCTTCATTGACTTCCGCCCGTTGTCTAGTTGAGCTTGGAAAGGAGCACCAGCAGCACTGTAGTTTCATATTCCAGCACTGGCTGACTTTTCTTTTGATTTGTGCTCCTGTATTAAAAAAAAAAAATACTTGTCTCTGCCTCCCACTTTGAATTCCCCTTAGGTCTATTGTTTCAAGAACACCAGGAAGACTTCTACCAACAAAATTATTTGTGTGCTGGAAGCTATTTTATGTCTTAATTGGTGACTCTTATAAAGAAAGACATGAGATGTATAGACTGTAAGAATAGCTGAAATTAAGCCACTTCCTAGAGACCAAGGACATAGGACCTACATTATCAATGACGAGATGAAGAAAGAATAAATATTTTTAAAGGGCTCTTCCTTTCCCCTTCCCCAAATTACATCACACAACTAGACTCTTTGAACTGCTTTTATTCTCTGTTCAGCGATCCTTACGAACGCATTTTGCACTGTCTTTCTTGTGACAGGACCTCAAATCCTGATGATCGCCGTCTTCACTCTCACCGGCACTGTGGTCCTGGTCCTGCTGGCCGCGCTCCTGGTGCTGAGGTACCCACACCCTCTCCGGCTGTGCTCCTCATTCTGAGAGGGACGAGGGAGGGAGGGGGAGGTTTAATGGCTATTGCTGATGATGTATGTTCACAAAGAGGTCTCTAGACAGGTGTAAGATCAATAATTCTAATTTATCCACACTCTCTGGGAAAACAATTACAAAACTTTGACATTTTGAATGTTGGGATGCGTATTGTTACAAATTCTCTGTGCTTTTGTATTTTCTTTCTACATATGTTTTCAAAGGCACAGATCCACAAGAGAAACTGGCTTACTTAGGAATCTGGTGTATTCTCTGGTGATTTAAAACTTAATGTTTTTGCCTTTCAAGGTTATCAATTTAAAATTTTTTTCTTTCCTCTTTCTTCCCTGCTCTTTTTATGCCATCAGTTCAGATTCTTTATTATAGTGAAGGACTCAAGAAAGTGAAAAAAAAAGGGGGGGAAATAATATAAAAGGCCATTGGAAATCCTTACAAGTTCGCTCATGGCCAGCACTTGCCAGATTGGAGAGTTGTAATTGGGCTGGCCTCACTCACCACGTATCTACCTTAGAATGCCAGGGTTTGAAATTTCTCCCAGTGTTCAGAAGCTGAACAGCATGAATACTAATAAGAAACTATTGACTGGTTCTGTTCCTTCCACAGAAAATACAAAAAAGCGCATGAACGCCGTCAGAAAAAATGGTCCCACATTCCCTGTGAAAAGATCATTCCTCTGGAGACCAATGAGACCAACCATGTGAGCCTGAAGGTAAGGCGCACCTCACCTTTTGAAGAAGCCTGTCTAGAGCTGGTGCAGCTTGCCAGGTGTTGGATTAGGCACCGGTAGATGGTGGGAAATGAGCCAAGCAGGGATCATTTCTTTCAGAATCTAAGACTTTGAAGTTATTTCACTCACCGTTTAAAATGTCCCTAAAAGGTCAATTTTAACCAATATTACAACAGATCACAGGTTTTTATGAGAATCAACTTGAAAGATGCAATAGTTCTCAACCTTTCTTCTGCCTTTGAAGTCTGGCAGAGCAAGGCCATGTCTGGCCTGCAGAGGTGTGTGTATGTGTGTGTGTTAGTCAATATTTATCATCTTTTAAAAGTAATTGCCAATATAAAAATCTTGGGATGGGTAGAAAAATTCAGATTACCAGCTTCTTCTGACAATTCAGATGATCCAGCAACTCTCTCGGCTGCACCCAGAGCTGATGGGGCTGCCCCCCTCAGACACCGGGCCCAGTGTCCTCGCTGCATTGCCACTTGGGCTTTTAGATATGAGTTTGCAACTCCAATGCACAACATGTTCCCCTAAGAGCAACTGTCTGTAGCTACAGGCAACGATTCCCACGAGGAGGGGTCAGGGGGAGCAGGAAGCAAGAAAACCCTGGCTGAAGTAGAACACAAGAAGGAGGGAGGGACAGCGCAACTCTAAGAGGAAGGGAGGGAAACCCAGAGTTTAGCATCGTGTTGCAGAGGAAAGGCGAGTTGTGAGAGAGAAACACAAGTCAGCTGTAACGGTTTCCCTGGGAGTCTGCCCAGCAGGCTGTGAGCGAGTAGATACCGCTCACCTGGCAGAGCCTCTCAGCCTTTGACTGGCAGTGGATGGGACAAGACAGGAAGCTTCTGGAATAATTAGCTTTTTCTTGTGCCAGATCGATGATGACAAGAGACGAGATACAATTCAGAGACTGCGACAGTGCAAATACGACAAAAAGGTGACTATCATCTCCCCTTCTTCTCTGAACTCTCGGTGAGGGGTGTGTTCTGGGCCTGCTGACTCATCACTGCCCCCTTCAGATGCTGGCTGCGCAAAGGTGCGGGCGGCTGCAGGGCTGCTCCAGGGGCTGTTCTAGGCGCCTTTCACAGGGATGGGCAGGGCTCTGCTTCAAGGGTTACAGACTCACAGTCCGGGGAAAATTAAAGAATGCATACAATTTTTAAAGATAGGTGGAATGCAGGAAGTGAAGGGAAAAATAAAAGAGAGTCAGAGCAGTCCAGGCAGCCCTAGTATTATATTTTGCCTCATTCAGTGAGAATATGACAATTCCACATGGAGTTTCCTTCCTTCCTTCCTTCCTTCCTTCCTTCCTTACTTCCTTCCTTCCTTCCTTCCTTCCTTCCTTCCTTCCTTCCTTCCTCCCTTCCTCCTATATTCTTTCCTTCCTTCCAACCTTTTTTTCTTCCTTCTCATTTAGTCATTCTTAAAGAAACATTCAAACCTGAGCCTCTCGTATCCAAGGGACATAAACATCAACAAAATACTGTAACTGCTCTCAGTATAGTGGGAAGATAGACACACAAACAAAATATTATAATACGCGTATAAATAGTCATGCTATAACTTTATCTTCTTAATTCAATTGATCTTTGCAGAGAGTGATTCTAAAAGATCTCAAGCACGACGGCAATTTCACAGAGAAGCAGAAGATAGAACTGAACAAGGTATGTGTCCCTTGCTTGAAACCCTTAAGTGAGAAATAGTATCACTGCATTTCCCCTGAGCACTGAGGGCCTGGGGCAGCAAGGCATTATTGGAGATGCTGACAGAGAAGCCCTCAGGCCGAGAAATGGGTGACTATACCTATTCGTGTTGAAGATTCTACCAACCGATGTTGGAGAGTGATGTTTGATGGTGTACAACATGTTGGAAATCTAATAGCATGTCTTATAAAATGGTCCTGATATTATTTGAGAGTAGTCAAAGGTCTGTATTCGAGTCCCCTTGCTGAGGAAAGAAAGACTGGTTGGTAAGATGCATTGCAATGCGTACTAAGAAATGTACTGACATTCCAAATCATCTTCCCAAAGATCTAAAACACGTTTTATTAGCATATTAATTTTTACTGTGGTGCTGCTTTCTGGCTGACTTGCTTTGTAAATAAACATGTTATCTTAGTTGCTTCAGATTGACTATTACAACCTAACCAAATTCTACGGAACTGTGAAGCTTGATACCATGATCTTTGGGGTGGTCGAATACTGCGAGCGAGGATCCCTCCGGGTAAGGACAATTTCCGATTTCCTAACTGGTCACCCATATAGAAAAATTATATATATAGTTTTAGATGTTCACCTAATGAAATAATATTGGAGAAGTATCAGGAAAAGTTGGTGGGTTCATATGTTACTAAACTGGATCACTCAGATTTTGTCAATGTCTTAATATATATATATACATACATATACACACATATATATTTTTTTAAGAGTGTAGACTTGAGAGAACAGAGTTGGAAAAGTGACTAATTACCTCTAAATTCATTTTATTTTACTTGCATATTTACTTGATTTGTATAAAACGAAAAATGGGTGGCCATTATGATAGCACCAGACAAGAATTAGGGAACTTATTCATAAGTCCTGGTTCTGCTACTGTTTAATTCCTACCATCCTTTCCCTTGTGAGGGATTGAGGATGGCCCAGGTGTTGCCTGGTGGGGTCAGGTACTCTGGCTGAGCAAGTTCAAAGCAGAAAGAGAAAGTAAGACAGAAATAAGTTGATTTCTTGGAAACAACCACGCATCAAGTAGGAATAGCAAATTATTACATTGTTCAGAAGGGCAGGCATATACAAGAAACAGTCACTTACAAGAAACAAAATCAGGTGTGCAGCAGAAATGGGACTGAATGGGGAACAGGTAGGAGAAGGAAGGAATCGAGGACAGTTGTTTCAAGGAGCATTGAAATATTTGAACCTCACCTGGAGCAGTTTCTGGGATGCGTTCTGAGGGCTTTCAGCCTTTTAAAAACCTTTGGGGAGGTGACCATAGAATTTACCAGGATACTTTGTGAGTAAAGGGGGTACTGTCATAATTGTTGGAGCTGTAGACATAAATTGCAACTGACCTCAAGCAAACCACAATGTGTGGTCACCCTGCCCTCAGACTATTTTCAGACCCAGTGTCTCTCTCTTTTTTTTTTTTTTTTTAATATATTTTATTGATTTTTTACAGAGAGGAAGGGAGAGAGATAGAGAGTTAGAAACATCGATGAGAGAGAAACATTGATCAGCTGCCTCCTGCACATCCCCCACCGGGGATGAGCCCGCAACCCAGGTACATGCCCCTGACCGGAATCGAACCTGTGACCTTTCAGTTCGCAGGCCGACGCTCTATCCACTGAGCCAAACCGGCTTCGGCCCAGTGTCTCTTTATAACCTTAATATTCTCCCCTATAACAAAGCCTGAATCCTAAGATTGGGGGCAGCAGCAGCTTTAAAGAGGTCCAAATATTCATTACTCAGTAACATTTAAAAATAATTTTGAAATTTAACCCCTTAGAAATTTTTAATTTTTTAATAAGCTTCCATAAAAGAACAAAACTAAACTAAACAAGATTAGTAGTTTTAAAAATAAACCCAGGTCTATCCTCAAAGAAAAAACTCATAGCCCTAAATGTTATTCTGTCTTTAAAAAAATAATCTAAATAGTCAATATAAAATTTAGAAGAATAACTATGGCCTAAGGAAAAGAAACTTTCAAAATTCAATCATTACAAAAGAGGTAGAGTTTTTAAAAGCATTTATGAGTTGTTTATCTTTTTTAAACTATAAAGTATACAAGCCTCTCATATTTCTAATTAAGACTTAAAAGAAGCATAAAAATAAACAAATGTGGGCATAGAAAATAAAGCTATTAAAGAGACATTTTGAATTGTGAAAGAATACTTCAAAGACTATTAAATTATAAAATCCAAAAAAAGAGAAAAATTTTAGATGCAATACAATCATGAAAGTTTGACTCAAAAAGTAAAAACTTAAGTAAGCTAATAACAATAGGAGAAATTCTAATTTCTATTACAAAAAAATACCAGCTTTGGCTTAATTCTAAACTTTAATAAATAATTCTCTGTGTGTGTATAAATACTGTTCTAAAATTAAGCAAAAACACAAATATCTAAATTCATTTAACATTCAACAAAGCTAGCATAAAGTTGATAATAAAATATGATTAAAGGCTAACTTATATTTAGGAATATTGATTTAAAAAATGATAAATAGAATACTAGTAACTCTAAGCCAGTTGTATATAAGGAGCATAGTACAATCAGGTATGGTTAATTCTATGAATTCAAAAACTATCACTCTCATGCATCATATCAAAAGGTCATAGAAAAAAAGACCATATGATGCTGAAAATGAACATTTAAATTAAAAAATTATAATTTAAATAAAACATTTCTAACGATAACAATTATATGAGGGCTATACCATACTCTGATTCATTTAATTTCAATGAGACAGCAATTTTAGAATACCAGTTCACAAAGCCTGGTCAAAGGGTTTTACAGAGTCTTTTACTCTCTAAAATGCCCAGCAAACATTTGGGTATCATACCTATAGTTTTGGGGGCTCTCTACCCTCAGGCAGGAAACTTCAGTTATCTGAATGGTCCTGGACCCCCTTCTGACATTGCTGAGTCCTCCTGGGCTCAGACAACAACAGAAATTTCTACAGGAAACCACCTTTGTACCATGAGCCTCAAAGCAAAGGCTGTGCAAAGGCAAATGGCAGTCCCCTCCCTGTGTCAACCTTCAGACTCCAACCATGGCAAATCCCATCAGAACCTACTTTTGTGGGGAAAAAAATCAGAACGTTTCAACCTAAATGGGGTAAAGACAATTTTCTTCCTGCCTTATAAATATACCATAACTGCAGCTAACCTTGTGTAGGAACAATTGATTCATTCAAGCAACAAACATTTATTAAATAAAGATTTATTCCAAGCCAGACACTGAACGAGATGCTGCAGAAACAGCAGTGAACAAAAATTATCAGTCTATGTGTTCATGAGGTGAAGAGATAATAAACATAAACAAAATATAAAATATGTCCGGTGCTAAGGGAAAGAATTACTTTAGAGTGTGTCTGGGCATAACTCCCCTTCCTTAACTTGGCATGGTACTTACAGCCTAGCCAGCCTTATCTGAAATGAATTATGACTTTGGACCCTTCGCTTGAAATTATTGGTATAGTGCCTGACTTAAAACTAAAGGTCAAATTGTGCTTTTTCCCAAAACAAGAAACTATTGTTAGGTTATTAGAGCTTTACTATGAAGAATTTTTACTAGCTTAGAACCATCATCTTGTTAGAACCATCACCATGTTAAAATATTGAGTTCAAAATTCTAGGTCATACAGTTTACACAAAATCTAAGAACTCTGTCTTATTGACAAGACTTAGTAAACTAAAAAAAAAAAAATTAGCCTGGCCAGTGTGGCTCAGTGGTTGGGTGTTGATCCATGAACCAGGAGGTCACAGTTCGATTCCCAGTCAAGGCACATGCCTGGGTTGCAGTCCTGATTCCCAGTAGGGGTTTGCAGGAGGCAATCCATCAGTCATTCTCTCTCATCATGATGTTTCTATCTCTCTCACTCTCCCTTCCTCTTTATGAAATAAATAAAAACTTTTTGTTGTTGTTGTTGTTGTTAATCCTCACCCAAGGACATTTTTCTATTGATTTTTAGGGAGCATGGAAGAGAGAGGGAAAGATAGATAGTAACATCGATGTGAGAGAAACACATTGATTGGTTGCCTCCTGCATGCACCCAACCAAGACCTGGATTGGGTAGGAGCCTGCAACTAAGGTACATGCCCTTGACTGGAATGGAATCTAGGATCCTTCGGTTTGCAGGCAGACACTCTATCCACTGAGCCAAACAGGATAGGGCAATAAAACGTATTTAAAAAACCAACTTAGAGCTATAAAGCCAATGGATGCAATTGGTCATGTGAGTAAAAACATAAGCCTAGTGAATGAATTTCCTAACAGCAATTCCTTGTTTGAAAACACTCATATAATTTTGATGAGACAGGACCTGCAGCCCAGCGACTTGTGATTCAGACTCACCAGCCCACTCTCCAGGCAGGCATGTGCTCATGGGCTCATTCCTTCACCCCCATCAGGTGGAAGACCAGAATGTTGGATACTCTGCTCATGTTCTTGTCATGAAAGCCACCCAAGTTTCTTACATAGGAAAGAAAAGAAATACTGGGTGGAGCAAAAGTAGGTTTATAGTTACTCGTATGGAAAATAATGCAATAGTTAATAAATAATAATACAAGAATAAACTCTGTGTTTCACGTACTCACAACTGTAAAACTGCTTTCCCTCCACCCTGTATACTTTCAGGAAGTCCAGGGCAACAAAGTTCCACTGTGTTCCTGAGCCCAAGACCTCATGATTAGATCATTATTTGCCTGCAATAGTCTCTCCACACTATCCCTCCTTGTGACAACTCATCTTCTTCTTCCTTTCCTTTTTTTCCTGTTCAGGAAGTTTTAAATGACACAATTTCCTACCCTGATGGTACATTCATGGATTGGGAGTTTAAGATCTCTGTCTTGTATGACATTGCTAAGGTAAGAGACCTATAAACACAGAAGACATCTAGAAAATTAAATACAGGAAAATAGATCAAGCAAGCTATTCAACTTCACTGCATTGATTTCTTCATCTGTAAGATGGTAATAAAAATAGTACTTATTTAGTACTAATAGTCAGAGGGTTGATAGAAGTATTTTATGAAATAATGTGTATGCTTCGCATAAGACCTGGTACAAGTAAATGTTCAATATATACTGGGTCCTCTTCTTATGGTGATTATATGCTTTCTACTCTGGGTTTGAAGCACATGTTTTCATAGACTGGCTGGAAGTTAAACTAATATAAAGCTGCAGAGAGAACAGCTGAATCTTCAACTTTACAAGAGAAAATATTAAGCACAGGCAACCATCGTGTATGAGGCGGTAAAAAATTTGGACATGTATATTCTCAAACATGGGAGTACCAGTAACCAGGGCCTCATTCAAGAATGAAGAAAAGTCAATCCCAAGAGTGAGCTATTTGATACCGTCTTAAATCTCCCTCCACATAGGATCAGAATAGGTTTGCAAAATGTTATATGATACCCCATTTGCCACATATCACTCCTGTGATCCAGGCTGTCTGCAATGACACCTCTAGCCAGCAGAGGGAAGCACACCAGTGAAAAAACAGGCTTCCCCTTTCACAATAGAATGAAATCCATTAAATCTAGCCTAGCCCCTCCCTTCAGAATAACAAAGCCTTATTATGCATATTTTTTAATTGAGGTAGTAGAGGACCAGACATTCCCAAGGTCACAGACCAAATAAGTGGTAAGTGAACACACTAAGAAAATAGGATCAACCTTTCGTTTTATATTATACACTAGGGGCCCAGTGCATGAATTCATGCACCTTGAAAGGAACTGTGGGCCACGAGGCTGTGGTGGGCACAGGGGCGGGTCTCAGCCCATCCTCTGTGCCCCTCCCACTTCGGACCCCAGTCCCCTGTCTGCCGGAAGCCCTGCTCCTGCTATCACTGCTCCCCTGCACTGACGGTGCTGGCCCCTCTCACACCCACTGACAGCGCAGAGTGATTGGGGCCAGCGTCATCAGTGGGTGCGAGTGGTGGCTGCTGCCCCAATCACCCCTCAGGAGCAGGGGGAGGTGGAGAAGCCCTGAAGGGCAGTCAGGGCCAGCAGCCAAGTGATCAGGATCGGTGTTGGGCGCCAGCAGTGGGTGCAAGTGGCAGCTCCAGCACCGGCAGCGGGTGCTAGTGGGGCCAGCACCGGCAGCAGGTGTGAGCGCCCAGCAGGACTGCGGCACGTGGGAGCAAAGAATTTTCAGTAACCACCAAAGGCTTGGCCTGATGACAGTGACCGGCACCCTGCCTTGGTCTGGCGCCATCAGTCACCTGCTCAACCATCGTGCCGCGGTTGATGCCCGCCATGTTCCACTCTGCTGCCTGCTGCCAACGCCCACCATGTTCCATGCACACCTCCTGGTGGTCAGTGCACATCATAGCGACTGGTTGGTTGGTTGTTCCGCCGTTCGGTCTATTTGCATACTAGGTTATATATATATATATATATATATATTAACTCTTATCAGTAAAATATATTCTTATTATCTCTTTTAAGATTGTGATAAGGGTCAATAAAAATAACATAGAGAAAAATGATTTGTAAAGTATAAAGAGTTTTCATGTTGAACATTTACCCAATCTTTACCATATATATATATATATATATATAATGACTTAATCCAAGTCTTTAGACAACTGCCTTTTACTATGTCACCTAAATAGATTTAAAACTAGATGTAGTGCTTAGGCAAACGTTAGGGCCTTAATATTTTTTTAAGTAAAATTAATGGAACTAAGTTTAAAATCTGTTAGTGTGATTCTACCTGAATGCCGAAATGCATACAAAATGTCATTTCTTTCTTTAAAATAAGCAGGTGCACAGTGTCTTATCTCTGTTTTCCTGTCATCTGAAAAATTGCAGGGGATGTCATATCTGCACTCCAATAAGACAGAAGTCCATGGGCATCTGAAATCCACCAACTGTGTGGTAGACAGTAGGATGGTGGTGAAGATCACTGATTTTGGATGTAATTCCATTTTACCTCCAAAAAAAGGTCTGTAATGAAATTTTAACCAGTTTCCCACTGGTCTTTCTCTTTTCTCACAAGCCCACATAATTCTCTCAAGAAATAGTGATACTGACCAGAAAATTAATACTTGGAGCCACCAGAGACAACAGCGGGCTCATCCTCCAACACTTTACCCTTGTCAGTTTTCAACAAGTGCTTCTTGAATTTAATAAATCTCCTCTGTGGATTTCCTTTATCCATGTCCCTTGATATCAGTGAGAAATTATGAGGAACTTATTGACTTGCAGAAGCAGAACTGGGTGAAAAAACAGAGGTGATTAGAGTAGTAAGAGACCTTAGAAATCTTCTGGTCTAACCTTCTCTCTTTGTAAAACAAGCAAACAAACAAACAAAAAACAGAATAAAGGTTCAGAGAGGTGAAGATGTTTGCCCAAGTAGATAGAGTATAAGGCAGATGACCCATTTCCAGTTCCAATTTATTTATCTGTGATAATGATAAGGAAAATAACTCTTATCAGTAAAATATATTCTTATTATCTCTTTTAAGATTGTTATAGGGGTCAATAAAAGTAACAGAGAAAAACGATTTATAAAATATAAAGAGTTTTCATGTTGAACATTTACCCAATCTTTACTATAACTCAGGGTTATGGACTCAGAAATCTAACACTCATATATGATTCAAAATGCCATCTAGGTCCAAACAATATATTCTACTTCTATTTCTATTTTACAATCCTTTAGTTTTTTCTTAATAAAAATTATAATTCTGCCCCTAATTTCTTCAGTCACATCAAGCATGCTAGACATTGGACTCAGTAAGTGCTCATTGAAGACCTACTGTGTGCCAAGCATGATTCATCATGTAGTGGAACAAATCTCCCTCATTAGATGACCCACCATGACAGAAAATCACAGGTCAAATCCCATCCTCCTGAACAGCACTCAGTTACCCCAACCTATCTGTGCTTGTCGGTCACCTTGATTTTAGCATAAGTAGTTATACCTAGCTTTCCTGCAACCCCAAACCACATGAATCACAAGACACATAAAGTCACAAGGCATCAATTCAAAAACATTTGGATGGAAAACCACATGAGGAAAATGTGCCTTGTCATAAGCCTAACACTGTATCCAACAACATGAATCTATAGATTTTTTCCATCAAAACTGCCAAACATACAAATCTCAAAAAGCTTACAAGGAGCTAGGTGATTCTGGAAAAACTTCAACGGATGTCGGAGAACAATTGTATGCCCTGTTATTACCAAATGAGATAAATGATGAGAGTCCAAAACCCAAGTGTCTGCAGGAGCCAAACACAGAACACAGGAGCCCTTCACTGTGAAGTGGACCAGATGGGAAGCATTAGGGAGGGGCAGGCCCAGTGGTAAAATGGGGGTAAATTGTATGCATTATGTTTTAAAGAACACTGTGGGAATCCAAGAACACACATCTCTGGGCAATAGCTGACTTGGAGGCTGCCAGTGTGTCACATCTGGAAAATATCAGTCGTAGTCTCTTTGTTTGAATGTGCTGTCTTTATTTTTAAACATTTACAAAGGCTTTCCTAGGTTTATGCTTTATGTCCCGTAAGCTGTTAAACCCTCTTAGCCTCTCATATTCTAGTGCATTCATCCCACAAACCTTTACAAGCACTTCCTGTACACCAGGTGCTATTCTAGGTAGACCTTGAGGGTGTTTAGGACTATGATCCTCGCGGTGATAGGGAAGACATTGCCATATGACCTCACCCAAATCCTGGCATTACATAGTCAGATTAAAAGGTGTGTGTTCTACCCTTAACACCATTATTAGCATAAACTTCTCAAAAGTCTGGGACCATATAAACTCAAGGCCACTCACATTCAGGGTGCATGGTGTAGGGACATAAAGAACAGAAGCAGGTGGGAGACTATGGGCTGCTCACCCCCTTAACTTTGCAATCTCCATGCTGAATGCCCAGACCTGTGGACAGCCCCAGAGCACCTCCGCCAAGCCAGCATCTCTCAGAAAGGGGACGTGTACAGCTACGGGATCATCGCCCAGGAGATCATCGTGCGGAGGGAAACCTTCTACACGCAATGCTGCCGCGACCAGAATGGTAAGAGTCTGACCCTTTCATCTGCCCCCGCTGGGAGCTGGCCAACCTGCATCCTAGGCTGACAGGGACCCTGATCTGTGTGACCACATCTCTGTCCCTCAGCTGTAACAGCAATGGCATATCTGCACTACCCATTTCACAGGGTTTTGGAAGGATTAGATGAATGAATGTTAGAGTGCTCTGAAGAGCGTAAGACAATACACCACTGCCAGGTGTCACTGCCATCAGTGTTATTGTTAGTTAAAGAATCTTCCCTCCCCAGCAGGTTAAGGTCATGGTTCAATTCCGGGTCAGGGCACATGCCCAGTTTTCCCCAGTAGGGGGCGTGCAGGAGGCAGCTGAGCAATGATTCTCTCTCATCATTGATGTTTCTATCTCTCTCTCCCTCTTCCTTCCTCTCTGGAATCAATAAAAATGTATTTTTTTAAAAAGAATCTCCCCTTATAATTTCCCTCTTTCCTTCTGATTTCTAACAGCCATGTGTCTAACACCTGAACTAGATCACCGAAGTGGGACATACATATTTTAGTTCCTACTAAGATCTATACCAGTGATGGCGAACCTATGACACACATGTCAGAGGTGACACGCGAACTCATTTTTTTGGTTGATTTTTCTTTGTTAAATGGCATTTAAATATTAAAAAAATAAATCTTTGTTTTACTATGGTTGCAAATATCAAAAAATTTCTATATGTGACACAGCACCAGAGTTAAGTTAGGGTTTTTCAAAATGCTGACATGCCGAGCTCAAAAGGTTCGCCACCACTGACTATACTTTTGTCACATGTCCCCTGGGGGCCTTGGGGGGGGGGTGTGGTTCAATATTTCATTCCATTTACTTACTGAGCACTTACTTGTGCCAACTCTTAACTGTCTGGGGGGAGGGGTGACTAGGGATGTCAGGATTGCAGGCTAGAGTCTTGGTCAGAGGAAGCCCACTGAAGGCAGTGGTGTCTGAGTTGAGTTTCATAGGGTGAGTGGCCTTAATTTGAGGGATAGCCTCCTGGGTATAGGTGTGTATGAGACCCCTTAACCTGGTGGCTCATTCGGCATCCCTCTGCCGACTGCTGGCCGAGGCGCTGCCGCACTCTCGCTGGCCCATCGGAGTCGGTGAGCCAGTTCGGAATCGGACCACTGCTCCACGTTCCGCATGCTGCATTCTCTCTTGTAATTGAATTATTCTCGTCCCATCAGAGAAGATTTTCAGAGTGGAGAGTTCCAATGGAGTGAAGCCCTTCCGCCCAGATCTGTTCCTGGAAACAGCAGAGGAGAAGGAGCTGGAAGTGAGTTTCTCTGGGCCACTGTAATAAATTACCACACACAACTTCATGGATTAAAACTACAGAAATGTATTTGCTGGAGACCAGACGTCTGAAATAAATTGTCAGCAAGATCACGCTCCTTCTAAAGGCTCTAGGGGAGGGTCCATTCCTTGCTACTTCCAGAAGCTTGTGCTGGCTGACATTCCTTGGCTTGTGGCCCAAACACCCCAATCACATTCTTCTCTCCTCTCCTCTTCTAATTTCCCTCTACCCACCTCCTATATAAGGATACCTGTGACTGCATTTGGGCCCACCAAGATAATCCAGAATAATCTCCCCAAGTCAAGACTCTAAAGGTAATCACACCTGCAAAGACCCTTTTTCCAAATAAGGCCACATCCACCGGTTCCAGGGGTTAGAACACGGACATATGTCCAGGAGCCATCATCAGCCTGCCACCCTACCTTGTCTGTTTCCATTTCTCTGAACTCAGGAAAGAGCTGATTCCTTAAGCACACGTTCCATTCTCAGTCCCTAGGAGCTCACAAAGCAAGATGCCCATGTGATACACTGGCCAGGCTTGTAAATAAAACCTAGTGATTGAAAAATAAGTATGCCAACATCTGGAAACAATAGGGAAGGGTACTTTCTCTCCTTTTATTCTTCATCTGAAGGAAATTGAGCTTTTGTCTCTGCATTTGTTTAATTTTTTAAATAATCCCTCACAAAGGCTATTAAAGCCTGTGGGGGAAGTTTCTAAATTTATTTTAGGATTTTATCTGAGCTTTTATAATCCCCAAAGATAGTAAATAGCGTGTTTTAAACGTTTTTAGGGTCTTAAAAATAAAACCTTTTGTTTGTCCCTTGTGGGATAAAGATAAAAAACGTTTTCCTTCAAGTTATGAGCATCCTTCCAGGTGAGGTTTGTGGCCAGCCTAGCTGAGTGTGAATGGGCCGTTCTTACCTCTTCTTTTCTCTATTTCAATATTAAAGGCAGGTTGCAGCCCCAAGGTTCTAAAATAGAACTGCTCCTATCTTGGTCTTATTCTATCCCCCCAACCCTGATTTTCAGGATGCTGGGATTCCTCCCCACACGTCAGCATATCCCTTCTCAACACTTCTTTCTAGTCTGAGGACAGCCACATGTTGCTTAAAACCTTTCCCACTAAAGCATTCTTCCTCCTCCATTCGCTCGTGTAGTCAGATTCTTCTGGAATTGGAAGCAAGAAAAGATTTCCTATCTAGTAGCTGGTTCCAATAGAATACAGGCCTGAAATTAGATGACGTGGCAGTGCCCCCGTTTCACTCGGCGGTGCTGCGTCAGCCGGCTGTGGGTTGGGTTTGTCCATGCCTCTTTGAGGCCGTCGGCAGATCATGTACCAAGGCAAAGGCATCATCTGGTGGTGAATGCAGGCAGGCAAGGGCTATGCCATGCATATAGCTAGTTCTTCCCGGGGATGCCCTGAGGCAAAGAACATGGGCAGGGACTGCACCTGATACGGTTTGTCATCCTATTTCTGACTAAAGTAAAGAACTAACTAATGGTTTGCACCATGCTTTCCGATTCAACAAAAGCTTCGAGCCAGTGATAGTGAGATGAGGTTTCCATGGGCTTCCTCATGTCTCCCCCTTCCCCTGAACCTCCCTTTCCTCACTTCTCTTTTATATATGCAATAATAATATATAGACTATGTATCATAATAATTCCATTACAATTATGACGTTATATGCAATTATTTATTATAATATAGTTATAATTATAGTATAATCTTATAATATCATTATAATTATAATCTAATTATATATAATTATATTATTTAATACTATAATAAACATTTTATATTAATATGTAATGAAAATAATTATATATATACATATACATACATGTCCTTTGCCTATGCTTGGGACATACTTATGCTAAAGAAATTATTCATTGTTTATCTGAAATTCGAATTTAACTGGGTATTCTATATTTTTGTTTGCTAAATCCGAGAGCCCTAAGATTCCTTCATAAACCAATTAAGTCAGAATCTCCTAGGTTGGGGCCTGGGCAAAAGAAATTTTGTAAACTCTCCCAGGCAATTCCACTCTTAGCCACGGTTAAAAATGCTGCTTGAAGTGCCTCGCTCTCATTGACAGTCACTGTCACATACTCACTGAACCCAACTGTTTCTTGTTCTTCCCAACACACACCCTGCAAATGCATGTAAAGATTTTGTCTCTCCCATCAATCTGGCCTTGTCCAAATCAGTATCACCTTTTTCATTAATTCAGTGTCTAAGGGAAGGGCTTAGGCAAGGCGGTACAGGTGGTGATGCCTGAGATACACTGCAGACAACTGGGCGACCTCATCCTCATTGTCAGAGTTGGGATGTTTTTAAAATAGTCGTTGCCTCAATTACTCCCATCCTGGAGGAAAATAGGATAGGATGCCACTCCCTGAGCTAATTCACCCCTTCTTCCTTCCAGGTATATCTACTTGTAAAAAACTGCTGGGAGGAAGATCCAGAAAAGAGACCAGATTTCAAGAAAATTGAGAATACACTGGCCAAGATATTTGGGTATTGCTGACATTTTTGCTTTTTTTCTCACCGATTTCAGATTATTCTAATAATAGTTGACATTCAGTGGCACCTAAGAATAAGAATACCTCAGAAAAATTAAAATGATATGGAGACTACCAGACCATTTTCTCTGGGAAATAATCACTTGGCAAGTTAAATACTCAAGGGCAAAACTTGCCTGATTAAAAACTATATTCTGACTAATCATAAGTATGCCTGTTAAAAATATAGTTCCCTGACCCTTCTGCAGGTAATTAGAATTTAGAAGTCTGTTATGGGTCCTGGAAATCTATAAAGTCCCTGGATAATTCTTAAGATCACCAAGTTTCTTAAATTTTTCAAATCTTAAAAAAAAAAATTAAATCTTAGGATCAGCAACTTTGGCCCTACATCCTTAAGACTTGAGTCATGAATCAGACTATAATTCAGTATTTTTTTTAAAAAAGTAACACACAATTATCCAGTAAGACTGAATTCTAGATTTGTCGTGTTTTCTGTTAGAGACAGTGCAGAGTGAGAAAAATAACTGGAGTGAGAGAGGAGACCCAGTTTCTACACTAGGATCTAATAATAGCTTGCTGTGGGACATTGGGCAAAACACTTATCCTAATTGGGTGTCAATTTTCTTGTTAGTAAAATTGGACTGAACAAGATCATTTGTACAATTCCTTCCAGCTCTAACTTTCTGTAGTTCTCATTAAGTCATTCAGATACTTAACGAGGCTAAAAGCCCAAGGCTGGAGAAGAAGTAGAGTGAAGTTAATCAAAGTGAGGTCATTGATTTGGTAGATCTAAGCTGTCGTTTGGGGGAAAGGAGCCGAACATAATAAGCGATTTAATTCTTGCCCACTTTTCATTGCTTCACAAACCTGTTACTAAGAGCAGATGAGCTTGTACATGTGACAGATGACATGTAAACTCTTGGAGATAAACTGGGCCCCTGATGTCTACCCTAGAGAATCTGATGTCATTGATCTGGGGAGCAGGCTGACATCGGGAGTTTTAATAGCTCCTTAGATGATTAAAACTTGCAGCCAATTTTTTAAAAAATGCAGCCAAGGTTGAGGAAATGTTTAATTAAATCAATTCATCATGAAATAAGATATCCATCCTCATCCTTTACACCTGCTCCCTTGCCCTTTCTACCAACTAGACTCTAGGTGTTTCTCGTAAATTCCCTGGGGAACTTGTTCAAAAATTCTGTTTCTTAATCCCAAGCCTAGCAATTTCCAGTCTTATAGGTCTGCAATGGGACTCAGGAATGGATTGAATTTTTAACAATCATCCCTCCACATCCCAAGGGGATGATGATGTAGGCCATCTTCTCCTTGACTGTATAAATTATAATTTATAATTGCTGTTGTTGTAATAACAAAATGGTATGATTTGTTCAGCCCCTTCAATTGTGCCATGTGTTAGTTACCAACATTATCTCTGATCCCCACAATGACTCTGCAGGAACTCAGCGTGCCTCTGAAACCAGCTTGGCACCAAGGCTTGTCATAGGCTCATGTCACAGAAAGCTGGCACCTCATCCAAGTCTCCTTAGTCTAACAAAAGCATTCAGAGTTAGGTTTTTTGCTTTAGGATCCCGGCTTTCCATTCTGAGATCATGTAAGGCTCAACTTTGCTTTTCTTGGTTCTCCTCATATACTTTCATTTATCACCTCTAGAGCTTTTTTTTTTTTTTTTTTAAATATATTTTATTGATTTTTCACAGAGAGGAAGGGAAAGGGATAGAGAGTTAGAAACATCGATGAGAGAGAAACATCGATCAGCTGCCTCCTGCACATCCCCAATTGGGGATGTGACTGCAACCAAGGTACATGCCCTTGACCGGAATCGAACCTGGGACCTTTCAGTCCACAGGCCGACGCTCTATCCACTGAGCCAAACCGGTTAGGGCAGCTTTTTTTTTTTAAAGAAAGTTTTTCCTTTATTATAAAATATTTATTAAAATTTTGGAAAATGAATAAGCAAACAAGAAAGTACAAAGATCATTTGTTTGTGAGTAGATGACCATCAGTTTTCAAAAATTAAAATGAGATTATAATTTTTGCTATTTTATGAAATTTTTCATGAGCAATATAGAAGTAGTATCTTTTGTGTTTAACTATTCTAATTCACATTTAATGCTACCTTAGTACTCCATTGTACCATAATATTTTAACTACTTTTTTGTTACCCATTTAGGTTATTTTCAAATGTTTGCCATTATAAAAATTGCTGTGACTTGCTTTGTAGTTAACTTTAGCACGTTCATGATGGTTTCCTTAAGATAATTCGTAGAAACAGAGTTGATGGGTGATTGGTATGTGTATTCTTAAAAAACTATGACACATTTTACCAGATATCCCTCCAGGAAGGTTGTATGTATATATGTCTTCCTTCTTACCTACATTGATTACCATTTTTATAACATTTGTTTTTCTTTCTTTTTTTTGTTAATCTTATTTCTATATTTCTTTCATTTCTTTCTGAGGTTAAATGTTTTTGTTAGGTATCAGCCAATTTTATTTTTTCTTTGTTTAATTACCTGTTCATCATATTTGCCCATAGTAATAATGGATGTTCATGTTTTCTTAACAATGTGGAAGAGCTCTTTATATATTATTACCCACAGCCTTTTTCATGACCAGAAAAGTGAAAGTTATATGGACACCTTGATCCGACGTCTACAGCTATACTCTCGAAATCTGGAACATCTGGTGGAGGAAAGAACACAGCTGTACAAGGCAGAGAGGGACAGAGCTGACAGACTAAATTTTATGTTGCTCCCAAGGTAAGACAAATGGTCCTGCTGATGTGGTTTCCCACAACAACACAGCTATGCCTCATACTTAAAGCTGAAAGCTTCAGCATATTTGTCTAGCATTGTTTTTCTTGATCTATTTAGGGTTGGTTCATTTTGCATATTCTTTTTTTGTTTCATATACATATTTCAGATATACCCCTTTTCCCCATTTTTGCCCCCCTCCACCCAGCCCCTGCTCCACCCCAGGCCTTTCCCACACTATTGTCTGTGTCCTTGGGCTATGCTTATATGCATATATGTTCTTTGGTTAATCTCTTCCTCTTCTACTTCTCCCTTCCTCACTAAGATCTGTCATTCTGTTCCATGCATCTATGCCTCTGGACCTATTTTGTTCATCAGTTTATTTTGTTCATTAGATTCCACATCTAAGTGAGATCATGTGATAGTTGTTTTTCTCTAACTGGCTTATTTTGCTTAACATGGTCTTCAAGTCCATCCATGCTGTTGCAAAGGTTAAGAGATCCTTCCTTTTTACAGCTGTTTAGTATTCCTTTGGGTAAATGTACCACAGCTTTTTTTTATCCACTCATCTACTGATGGGCACTTGGGCTGTTTCCAGATCTTAGCTATCATAAATAACACTGCTATGAACATAGGGGTGCATATTCTTTAAGAGATTGCGTTTTAAAATGCATGGATCTTGCTAACCCTTGTTCTGCTCTCTTGCACTTTAAATACTTTTTTTAAAAAAGAGGTTATTTTCAAGTGGCCATGTGGTGCCACAGAAGGAGCGTGGACTGTGGAGTTGGAATGACCTGGATTCCAACATCTCTGTGTTACTCTTACTAAGTCTGGGACCTTAAGCAAGTCATGGTCTCTCCTCCGTGAAATGGACATTTAAGTCTCCTATGGAATCTGTGAGCTATAAGGCACTTTCAGGCACTAAGTATTAGTTTCTTTGCTTTCTTTCTACCTCAAAGTAGAAGCCAAATTACAAGAAGTATAAGTGTTTCTAGTGGAGGAGGTGAGGCTAAACATCAGATATCTCCTCTCCTAGGCATGTATAGGCTGGCCTCCATTTTATGAAATAATACAACAGCTGTGACAGAAGGGAAAGGAAGTAAGGTTGGGGTCACCAAACAGTTTAAAGTTTTGTAAGTGTTGGTACTCAGCTAATAAGCAAGAAATTAAAATGTGAAGAGCTAGGAAATAGGCGTAGGACAAGGCCACTGTGGGTACACTGTTACAGCGAGAAGCAATGTTTTCCTCTCATGAAAATAGAATAAAATGTCCTATTAGGTTAAGGATAATGTAGGGAATCTAGCAGTTAGATAAAATCATGGAAATTGACTTCAAATCATGGTCCCACCGCCTACTGTGGATGTGTGATCTTGGGCACTTTCCTCAATGCTCTAAGCTCAGTTTCCCTTGTGCTTCACAGGCTGTTCCAAAACATCCCCTGAAATAAGGTGCAGGATTTAAGATACTTAGCACAGTGCCTGGAGCGTCCATGGTTGTTGTTACACATAGTCGCTCTGAACTTTTATATATAACTTGTATTAGTTATTATTTTATTTTGATCCCATACTTAATTTCAAATATCAGTTCTACATGAGTAAAGAAATGATTTTCAGATTGTACAGGCTGTTTTCTAAATACATAGTTTCTCTTCTACAGCCTGAATGAAGAAGTAAGTTACACACATACTCTATTCAGTCATCCAGACCTCAAGAGAGCCTAATATAGAACCCATGTGCCCTCACAGAGCCTCGAAACAGTCTGGGAATGGCACCCTTGGAATAGGCTGGACCCCTGTTAGGCAACTTCTGTCAGCGCTCCATGAATGTTAGTTACATAATGCATCATTCTTTGCCTGGCCTTTAACTCTGCAACAAAAACAAGACCCTGGTTACCTGGCTGCTTTTCCAGGGTGTCATCATCAGTGTGGTTTTAACCAAGAACGTCACTCAAATGATTGCAAACTAGCTCACCACCTCAGTTTTCTTTTCTTCCCTTTGGTTGAATGTGCCACTTTGACCACGAGATGGTAAATGTTTTTATTGGATTGCCAAGGTTGTAGAACACAAATCTCTTCAATAGCTGCAACACACCATGACTCCAGTGCAACTCACTTCCGTCATTTATGTAAAAACTCTTTGTATTTGTAAAAGAAAACCAACAGTAACTAGAAGAATAAAACAGAAATATTTACAGCAAAATTATTAATAAACTTAAGGCTGCATGTAGGAACCAGATCACTACTTTAACACTCATTTGAACCCTTCCCTTTGGGGTTCTTAAACAGATTAAAATAGAAGGTTTTTCTTCTTTGGGAAGTTCTTCAAAGACATCTACTCTGTACAACGAATTCTGTGTCAGCAACAACCTGTTTATGAAAGTTCACCGTGTGAGATTATAGTTCTTCCATCATTTATCTGAACATCAGTTTCTCTCACGTGCATGCTACTTTCCAAGCTCATAGGACTTTTCAGATATAATCAGTAAAATGAAGGGTAAAAATGGGAAATATCCAATTTTATCGTTACATCAAGGTGGCCTCCAAAATAATCTGCACCCTTACACTGGGCATGTCAAGAACAACCAGCCCAGAGGTGCCCCTGCTCATCCAAACAGCCACACCGAACGGCTGTTTATCAAAGGTCCCGAGTTCCCTCACTGCACCAGCTGAAAAATTTCTTCCCTCCAAGCTCCGGAGGTTCTCCAAGTAATTTCTGTGCTTGATGGGCTGGTTTCTGGGAAAGTACTTGACATTCTTCCTCTACCACAGTCAGCACGCTCCAGGCCTTTCCCAGCTCCCCGACAGTCCCAGGCCTTGAGGGTGGGGTCGGGGTGGGGGGCGTGCTGAGCAACAAAAGCCCTGAAGGGGTAGATGTTGCTGAGTTCTGGACTGGCTCTGCTCTCAGTGGCCATGGGACTTGGTAAAAGTCATACTTTTAAGCCTCAGCTTTCTCATCTGTGAAAATAAGAGATTTCTTCTCAATGACCTCTATGGTACCTCCCAGCTTCTGGTTCTAGTGGTTCCATACTCGGATCCTTTACAGAGTGACCCCAAGGGCGGATGGGGAGCATGCAGCTCATGATGGGGTTGGGGGAAATGAAAAGCCACCTGGCACATAAGGGAATATGCAGCCCCTTCTTGTAGCTCTTCTCTCTTAATTCTGAGTCTGATAAACTGCTCTTTATATCTCTTCAACAAAGATATTCTAAGTTGCTTCTACTTGACTTCTTCAGTTTTAGCATAATTTTAACTTGTTTACATGGTAATTGACTTTGCTTTTTAAAGAACCCAAATCTGGTTCAGAATATATCAAATAAATTCCGGTTCATACTACATCCAAGTTAATTTTTAAGTGCATATTCCTTCATAGTGATAACAAACAATGTCATGTTAAATATGTCAGGGAGGTAAAACCATTGATTCGGATGATGAGAAAGATCTGATAGCTATAGTCACTGAAGCCCTTGCATTAATGACACACTCTCCCTCTCAGCTTCTGGATATAGAGTTATATCTAAAAGAAACTATGAGTAGAGAGGTAAAAAGTGGGCAAGAATGTTATGTAGTAGCATGTGTATATGTGTATTAGGTTCAACAGTCAAGTACTAATTTAATGCTGAACCTGCTTATAGTCATCTGAGTTCAAATGCATGTATTATATGTTTCTGTATATATGTAATATATGGTATATGCAACTTATCTTTGCTTCCTAGCCACCCAGTTTACTGGCAATCCCAAATTCTAGAATTCCTGGTGGACAATTACTGTCTCAAATATTTATGTAAGAGAAAAAAAAATTTACTAAAGTTGATGGCAAATTTCTTCCTTTCATCTAGGCTAGTGGTTAAGTCCCTGAAGGAGAAAGGCATTGTGGAGCCTGAACTATATGAGGAAGTTACCATCTACTTCAGTGACATCGTAGGTTTCACGACTATCTGCAAATACAGCACCCCCATGGAAGTGGTGGACATGCTGAATGACATCTATAAGAGCTTTGACCACATTCTCGATCACCATGACGTGTACAAGGTAACCACCTCACCTAACAGGCTGAGACGGTCCTGAGGCCCCAGGTCAGCAGAGTCAGAATTAGTTGTTCCTGTTACTTCTCAGGTCTCGTCCTTCCCAAATTATGATTTAATGCATCAGTGGTTGAATCTGAGCTCAAAATGAAGGGAAGTAAAAGAATAAGAAGGGCTAAAAGTTGAGAAAACCGGTTTGGCTCAGTGGACAGAGCGTCGGCCTGTGGACTGAAAGGTCCCGGGTTCGATTCCGGTCAAGGGCATGTACCTGGGTTGCGGGCACATCTCCAGTGAGGAGTGTGCAGGAGGCAGCTGATAGATGTTTCTCACTCATCGATGTTTCTAACTCTCTATTCCTCTCCCTTCCTCTCTGTAATAAATCAATAAAATATTTAAAAAAAAAAAAAAGAAGGGCTAAAAGTTGAGGGGGGGGGGGGGGGAAGACATGTAATACTTTAAACAATAAAAGAAAAGAAAAAAGAAGGGCCAGAAGTCAAAATGACCATATGACTTTAAGTAGTTTGAAAACAACAACAACATAAAGTTCAGCAGGAATGAATTTTGGGTACTAAATTTAGAGAAAATTATATCCTCTCAAATCATCTTCAAAAAATGGATAGTGTTCAGGCTAATTGCAAAACACTGGAGTTATAATAAGTAGAATAAGAATATCTTGTTGTTGAAATAGCAGCATCATTCAGAAAAGACCACAGAAGAAAAGAGAGATTTCTACAAGTTCACAACTGGATCTATTACCTGACTGGCATGCTGACCAGTTCTAGGCTATTAAGTCTGAGTCAGAAGAGTAAAAGGGGAATTGAATTCCCACATTCTCATGATAGAAAAGCAGCATACCATATGGAACAAGTAGCTTTAGAAATAGATCTCTTCATTCAAATCCCAATTTGCCCCTTACGAACCATGCGATCTCTTAAAATATATTTAACTTCATCAGGTCTCAGTTTGCCTATCTTTAAAATGGGATGATAACAATACCCACCTCAATGGGTTATTGTAAAGATTATTTAGATAAACAATATGCCTGGAACACTGTGTCCTTAAGTAAAGCTTAAAACTCATTATTATAATACTCTGTCATACTGGTTATTAGTCACAGAGAGGACTCCCCTTTTAGGGTTCGTCTTAGCCCAATCCTCAGAAAGCCATATTAACAATAGCCCTTAGACAGAAAATGATTACGCATTTTAGAGATATATGACAAAAAGAAGTTAACTAACCAATAAACGTGAACTATACATATGATTGTGAAAATAAAATTAAAAGGGAGGAGAGGACATTTATCAAAGAATAATGTTTATACAGTACTGTTAATATAAATCTACTACTTATTATAATAAAAGTGTGTATAGTCACCATACTACAAGAATGTGTATTTTATCTTGGAGGAAACTACAATTTTTTTTTCAAATAGTATGTGAAAATTGGTAAAGTGCTGAAAATGACTTTTCTGGTACATAAAGGTCTTTCTAAAATAACATAGAGCTACTCGGATTATTTAAACATTCATAGAATTGTCAACACCTCTGGGTGATTTACATTATTGTGAACTACTTATATAAAAACATCTACAGCTATTTTATCATCCATTTTACTAGACTATGGAAACCCTAAAGAAATGAGCATAGAAGTGCTCTTAAACTGGCCCCAAAAAAAGTGTACAGGGCTCATAATGAGGTGTTTTTTTTTTGTATTTGATATGGGATTAACTGCTTATGTTTAATTTCTTGTGCCTTTTGAAGGGGCAGCTTCACTGATCAGAAACTGTTTTCACAGGTGGAAACCATTGGTGATGCCTACATGGTAGCTAGTGGCTTGCCTAAGAGAAACGGCAATCGGCATGCAGTGGACATTGCCAAGATGGCCTTGGATATTCTCAGCTTCATGGGGACCTTCGAGCTGGAGCATCTTCCCGGCCTCCCGATCTGGATTCGCATTGGAGTTCACTCTGGTATGGGGTTGAGCATTGTAGCAAATGGGAACCATATGTATCTCTGTGCACCCACTAAATCAGAAAGTGTAGAGTCTTCAAATGTGATCAGTGTTCACGTGAGGTTTACTCTTGGATCTGTCTGCCAAAAATGAGGTCCATGTCACATCCTGACATAATTAGACCCATCCCTAGAGAGTTCTGGGAAACACCTTTGACTCCTGGAATGATAACCACCACCACATCCTAAAATAACAAGCTCCAGATTTCCTGGTTAAGTCACTATATTTAGTGTTTCAATTATCTCCTCTCATTCCCTCCCTCTCCCCTGCCCCCAACTTCAGTATTTTCCCCCACTAAAGTATTATGGTATCTTAAATGGATTAGACTATCTATGGGGGTGGGGAGGGGATGGCTGGTCAAATTCTTATAATAAAAGGGCATGTACGCCCCCTACACCCACCCCTCTCATTGGTACAGAAAGCACATGAGCCACTTCAAAAACCATGAAAGTTACTCACCCTTGAATGTAGAGATTTGAAAAGATGAGTTACAATTGTTCTAGAAAAACATAGTTGGAAAGGACCTCAGAAATCATCTAGATTAATCCTTTATAGGACATAGATTATCTTTACAGGTTCCAAGATAAGTACTAGTAATTTCATATCCACTTTTAGAACAATTCCAGGATTTCCTGAAAACTCACTGTATCCAAAGCCACGTCACTCCATTATTAAATATTTGTAATCATAAGACAGTCTTTCCTGTGTTAAATTAACTCATATCTCCCTGTAATTTCTTGTCATTGCTCCTCTTTCTGCCTTCAAGCCTTGCAGAAGAGCCACAGTATAGAAAACCGGAGAGATCGCTCCAGGCTTTGTGGCCAAGACCAGACAACTGCATTTACAAAAGTCATCCTATATCCACAGCACTTGTCTCAAAGCCTGGCAGTAAATATTGATTAAGAAATCAGTGAGATTCTCAAAGTGACAGTCAATAGGCGTTAAAAACTGCTACCGCATGTTCACTGCCAGGAACACAGCTGTAGCCTTTCCCGAACGTGTCCACAGCCAAATGTCTTAGATGTTTCCATATACACACGAGGGAACTTGCTGGGCATCTCTTCAGCCAGCAACAGCATTCTGTCCGTTTTGAGCCATTGCAAATCGCCAGAGAAAGGAATAACAACAGGTCTGACCGAACCAAGTCAGAGAGACTGGAGCTCTGGGTCCTGGCCCCTTCTCTCTCCCTGTGACCTCCTCGAGGTCTGAGCGGACTACCAGGGCCCAGTGCTACCTTATTGGGCTGAAATAAGGATAGATAGTAGGCACACATACCTACTATCTAGGTACGATTCTAGGGTTTAACCCTAAGAAATGAACGGGTCGAAGTTAAATACTGATAGCTGAAAACAAGACTAACTAATATCTGCAAGGATTTCCCCATGTCCAGGCCCTCCTCAGTGTTATCACTCCGTTTCTGAAGAGCCACTTGTGACAAGACCTAAGGCCCAGATCAGAAATCTCATCTAGCAGCTGCCTCTGCTGTACCTTTCCTGCTGGAGTTATTCTTTTGTCTGTTTGTTTTTTTCTGTTTGCTTATCTTTTGTTTATTTTACACCCAATCTAACAGGGAAAACCTCAGCACTCAGGGGGAGTCTAGTATTTTGTACATTTTTAATCTTCATAAACACAGAGTGTTTATAGGATAAATCTATAAAGAAACTCAACTTACATAGATCAAAACCCAACTAGAAATCAGCCAAACTAGAAGACCAGTAGTTACTTCTATCCAACACCTGTTTTTGTAGTTGCTGAGTTAATCTTTAACCTCTAAAATCTTTAACCCCTTGCGTTCAGTCATTCCACACAAATACTTGTTTAAACAACCCTTCCTCCCCACCTGGTATACACAGTGCACAGTCTTCCTCGGCTTTGTTTTTGCTAGAATGTTCTTGTGCTCCCCCATTCCACTGCATTCACATGGCGCGTGAAATGCTCAGGGAAAATTCTGCCAGATCCTTGTCTTCTGGGTCTTCCATCATCATGCCATTAATCCCAGAAGTGCTACCCTACTAAATCAAAGTAAAATAAGACAAACTTGGGCCATTGAGCCTTCAAGTGTACTGGGACCTCCAGCAATTCAGAGCTCAGGGCTGTGTGGCTCAGCACAGTGAGCAAACACTGGGATAGTCTTCATCCTACAGCTTCTATTGAAAATATTCAGAATGACTTCCCACCTTTCAGCCTGGATCTGATGCCTTCTTGCTTTGTGCAAATGTACTTTTCTATGCCAGAGCAAAATACTTTCTGAAAGCATGCATTGATTGAATAATGATGTTTCCCTCGTTGAATACATTCTTCATTCGAGCTCATTATTCACACCCTCAGACATGCCTCCATCAAGTGGAGTATTCAACATTGTGGCACCTTCATTCCTCTCTGTGATTTCCATTCCCCCACTTCCTGCTTTCTGCCCTTTCCAGGTCCCTGTGCTGCTGGCGTCGTGGGGATCAAGATGCCTCGTTATTGCCTATTTGGAGATACCGTCAACACAGCCTCTAGGATGGAATCCACTGGCCTCCGTAAGAAGGGAGATTGTGTTTCTTAGAGGACAAAGATTCTGTCTTTCAGCAGGAGGGAATTGTAGGATAACGTGCACAAGAAGTGCCAGTGAGATGATGAATGAATGACCCTTCTTCACATTGAATGACCACAAGACTGTCATTCCAGGCCTTGCTACATTTGCTTTTGTTGCTACTGTTTACTGATCATTATTCTTTCCTTTGGCTCAGTTTTAGGTCGCTTCTATTAGTTTGGGCTTATTTAGCAATGCATTCAGGCATGCTCTACCTGGAATAGTCATTAACTTTAGCAGAGATCCATGTAAGTTAAAAAAAAAATCAGTAGGCTAGGTATGGGGTATACAACTTGGTTCATTTTCCTATTTCTCTTCTATTTGGTTTTCCTGGGAATTGGTTTTAGTAAAGAAAAGTGTATTTGTTATCTGCAAAAACCTATATTGCATTTGCCTGGCAAGGTAGAGGCACTGTGTGTTGCATGTAGTAGATGCTAAATAAATATTGATGACAGTGATAGTAACAGAAATATATACAAGAGTGAATAAAAGCATTGGTAGATGTGGGCAGACATTGCAAAAATATAGGTGTTAGAACAGTATTTTGGCAATTTACTGACAATCTGATACTGGTTTATACTGGAAAATCATGATGTAAAGGAAAGAATAAGTTTATAAGACTTGCGTTAAAATTATAACTATGCAAATCACTGTCTGTGTTAAGGTAGTGGGGGAATTACCTCATTTTCCTAGGCATCAAAAATTTGAGGATAGGATACCAACCTTGCTGGAAGAATTGGAGAGGATATATGTTAATCACTTAGCAATCCTCTGATAGATGGTAGGCATACAATATGAGAGTGCTATTATTCTTACTATTGTTATTGTCTGTGGCACCCGTAATGGGAAAGGTGATGTACAGCAATGGACTGAGGAATGGAAGTATATCCTCACCACTTAGTTGTCAGGAAGATAACAATATCCCAGAAGAGTAAAATTTGAGAAAATCAAGACCCTATAACTGTCTCCTGAATCTTTACCTTGTCACCAACACTTTGGCTACTTATTGAAACTTTTACATGGGGAAACCACATGCCAGCTCTCAAGCTCAGCACCACAAGCTAAATCTAAAACAAGGTCCTGGGGCTACCACTCTGAGCTGAAATGAGAATCCATGGAGCACAACCCAGGAGCGCCGTCACTCAGCACCCTGAAAACAGTGCCAGACCCTCTTTGTTCCCATGTGTGATATTTATTGCACTGGGTGTGTTTTTAAGTGTTCTTGCACTAAAATATCTGAGCCGTCAAGAACATCTAAAGTTAATGTCCGGAATCAAGGCAAAACAAATGTGGCCATATAACAGATTTCAAATGGACCAGATTTTCATTGATCTGTTTTGCTTTTCCAGCCTTGAGAATCCATGTGAGTGGCTCCACCATAGCCATCCTGAAGAGAACCGAGTGCCAGTTCTTGTATGAAGTGAGAGGAGAAACGTACTTAAAGGTGAGGGACCCACAGAAACAGTACCCAGAAAAGACACACACCCCCAGGGGCCACTTCCTTTGAGACTAGACACCCAATGGTCAGTAATACTGGGGAACATACGATGAAGAATCCTTTTCTGTACTCCCTGCATGGATCTCCCTCTGTCCCTGCGATGATCACTGACCATCCCCGCGATAGGCACCCACTATCCCATGTAGGAGAAGCCACCGCCAAAGAATGTGAACTCAGCCTCTCTTTACTTCAATGAGCCCTTTTCATATTGTGAACTATGACCACTATGTCATAAAATGCTGCCACCATTTCTTCCACACGTACCCAACTTTTGCCCCCAATTCCTCCTTTATACCCAAGAGCCACAGTCCGGTTCAGGACTAATTTAACTACAGTCAATGTCCCTGTCTCCTTGCGTTCTTGCTCTTACTTCAAGATGCTGCAGCTCTAAGGCCACCTCTCCAGCCAGTTGCTTTATCATTCAAAGCTCTGGACAAGAGATGGCAAGCTGGCCTCCAAAGCCACCAAATGCCTCCACTTGGCTCTCAGGCTGCTTTCTGGAGATTACAATCTTTTCACAATTGGTCTGAGGCCAACTATTGCCAGTAAGATCATCTGTCTCCAGTAGCCATAGCACTTCTAGCCTTTACACTGTGGTTGCAACTTAAGCTTCCTTTTATGTAGTAGGGTCCTAACATCACACTCACTTTTTAATCCTCCAGAAATACATTTTCTACACCAAGCATTTCTCCCCAGATAGAAGCTGTTTATGGATTACTACAATTCAAACACATAAAAAAAAAAAACCCCGCTATTTTTAAAGATGAGTGATTTTTAATATATCCTATATAATAAAACCCTAATATGCAAATAGACCGAACGGTGGAATGACTGGTCACTATGAACTGACCATCAGGGAGCACAGGATTTTCAGTAAGTTTCCATTCATTTTATAGCCTCCACATGGGCCCAGAAAATGTCACTTAAGTGTTCATTATGATGCACATGTGTTTATAGTTTACACACTTTAGGTGGGGAAACTGTGGCAAAACTTTTGTGGCAAACTTCATGGCAAAATGAGCCAGAAGAAAATGTGGATAATGAAAACCAGTCAGATTTGTTGGCATAACAGAACTGTAGATGAATTTTCTTCCTTTTTAGGTTCTTGTGATGTTGCCATAGTGATATTTTAAAATCTTTGGGGCCAGGGGAGACTCTACTTTGAAGAAAACATGTCTGGTGATTGAGAGACTTGTTTTTATTGATTTTAGAGAGAGAAAGCGAAACAGAGAAATCAATTTGTTGTTCCACTTATTTATACACTCATTGGTAGATTCTTATATGTGCTCTGACTGGGTCTTGAACCCACAACCTTGGCATATTGGAATGATGTTCTAACCAACTGAGCTACCAGCCAGGGCAAGAAACTTGTTTCTAAAAGGGCACTTGGAGCCCTACCTGGTTTGGCTCAGTGTCTGGAGCATCAGCCCGTGGACTGAAGGTCAAAGGTTTGATACCCATCAAGAGCATGTACCTTGGTTGCAGGCTCCAATCCTGGCCCTCGTCAGGGTTTGTGCAGAAGGCAACCAATTGGTGTGTCTCTCATATCAATCTCTCTCTCTCTCTCTCTCTCTCTCTTAAAATCAAGGGAAAAAATATCCTCGGGTGAGGATTAACAACAAAAAAATAAAATAAATAAAAAAGCATTTGGAAATAAGCTCTGTCCATATGTAAGGCAGACCATACCAGGAAGGTGTGCTGCACTGAAATATAGGCACTGATGAGGAACTCAGAGGGGAAATGTTTCTTAGAAACAAACACTTGTCAGAACGGTGGGCTAGAACTGAACTGTCTCATTGGCCTCCATGGTTCTCACCTCTCCCATCTCACTAGGGAAAAGGAACCGAGACCACCTACTGGCTGACCGGGATGAAGGACCAAGAATATAACCTGCCAACCCCTCCTACTGTGTAAGCTGCTGGGTGTGGTGGGGAAGGGGAGTGGAGGTCTTGGCTTTATAAGTTGGGCTTCGTACAGCCAACTTACCAATCAGACTTGATTTTTGGCAAGTGCTTTGACAGTGTCAATGATGTATAAATATGAGGACTACATGTGTGAGAAGTTTAGAAATCTCCCTTCTCTGGCTGCTAGAAGCTGGGTATTCCAGCATGCCCAGGAGAACAGAGGACAGTTGAGAGCTCACTTCCTGCATGTCTGGTTCTGATAAGAGTAAAGCACGCTGGAGGCGAAGGGGCACTCTGCATCTCCACCCCTGCCTACAGCTCTCTGCTGGGCCACATGTTGAAAACGGGATCTACCCCATCCCTGGGGCTGTGGTTCTGGGTCTTCCCATAGAATGTAGGTCCTCCCTGAGATGAGGAAGACAGGTTCCAGGTCTGACAGTCTCAGTTCCCCTAAAGCTGACTCAAATGGTCACCAAGTTGCACAGTGGTTGCTGCAGTCAGTCACGTGGCTGTTGCTGTGGCATTGGCTATGGTAGAGAAACCCCGTTTTGCAGACTCCTAGATGTTGGACCCAGACAGATGGCAAACCTATAGATGCCAAAACCACCCAGGTCTTCCCTGGGGCCCAGGGGACCTGGCCTCTTCCTAGGATTGCTCCACGTCCATTCCAAATTCTTGAAACCCTCCATTCATTCTGAGTCCTCCCCAGACACTCCTAGGAATGTGTGGGACCAACACGTTTTCAGGGTTGGGTTGCAGGGGCCCAGCATTGTTCTGGCTTCTGGCCCCCTCCCTGCAGTGGCATGGGTGAACCTAACAGCGCCTCCAAGTTCTAGCAGCATGGTGTTTCACTTTGAAATTGAAAAAACAGTTTTCAGTTTGAAATATATTCTGCTTTTATATATTCAACTGCACAGAGCAGGCTAACAGTCCCTTATGGTCATCTGAGGCAAGCCTGTTTATCAGACTTCCTGTGTCTAGCACAGAAGAAGCCTTTGATAAGTGCTGGGTAAACTGAGCAGATTGTTCTGGAGGGAAGAAATATTCTGTATGAGTTGCTGAGAAGTTCTATTTTCCCTCCCCACTCACTTCCCAGGGAGAATCAACAGCGCTTGCAGGCTGAGTTTTCAGACATGATTGCCAACTCCTTGCAGAAAAGACAGACTGCGGGGATAAGAAACCGAAGACCCATGCGGGTAGCCAGCTACAAAAAAGGCTCCCTGGAATACATGCAGCTGAACACCACAGACAAGGAGACCACCTATTTCTAAACCTATGAGGCCCAAGGACTCAGGCAAATGAAGTACAGATGCCCTCAGGCAGCGACCTCCAGGGTCCCGAAGCCTCCATTTCCCGGAGACCTCACTGGAACACAAGGCTCAGATGCCTCCTACTGAGCCTCTAACAGTGGGTATCGTAACCCACCTAACCCACCCACCATTCTGTTTGTTTCTATAAATACTGACTCTGACTGATCTATAACTTATAAAAGCGTGTTTGTATAAGAATCCTAGGAACTGACTTCAGATACAGACTCCGACCTTCAGTCATCCCAGTTCTGGGCAATTTGCTGACCTTCAACTATAGAACCAGGATGACAAAGACCAGGGTGACACACACAGACCATCACTTGACCAGTTTCGAGGTCCTTATCGGAATGGACTGTGTGGCCTGCACGTAGAGAACTTTTCACCCCTTGGTCTCTTTGTTCTGCTTTGCCTCTCCCTCCTCGTTAAAACCCCTGCCTGCTCTGAGATGCTGAGCTGGGCGTGTGGCAAGAGTCCCCCATCTCCTCAGGTGACCGGCACTTGAATAAAACCTCTTTCTTTTTTCACCAGCATCTGTCTCACAAGTTTGGTTTTTGTGGTGGCAGGCAGCCGAACTTGGGTTCCAGTTACAAGCTTTGGCTGCCTGTCTGGAACATTTTATAAGAATATTCTGGAACATTCTGGAAAAGTAAATTACTTTTCCCTCTGGAGCCTGATCACTTGCTTCAGGGAGCTTCAACCTGGGAAAGAGGAATGGATGTACTATCTCGAAGTTGGGGAGTTTTGTTCTCATTTCATTTATATTGTTTTTGTTTTCTTTACTGGCACTTTTTTCTTCTATATTCATGATTGACAGGATATTTTAAATTGTAAATTATATTTTAAGTATCTTATCTCCATTAAATTTTATTTAACTCATAATTTTTGCAGAAAATATGCTGTATATTAGGATTGATATGCTATAATTAGGATTAATATATACAGAGTGTCCCCCAAAATATATATATATATACACTTTAACAGCTGATAGCTCAATTTTGAAAATGAAGTGTATTTTAATAAACACTGCCTTTATAATTATTCAGTGTGTGTGCGTACATTTTGGGGGGACACCCTATAGTTAATAGTTGAAAGCTTACTGAGTCTGTGTATGTGTTTCCACCTATTCCTCCCATTTTCCTGAAATGCACCAGCCCCATCTTGTGCTCCCTGAAAAGCTGCCTAAATCCACCCACACGGAAGCAGAGCAAAGCTAGCATTGCTGCTCAGGGCTAAGAACCTTGACATTCAGTACCGCTGCCCCGCCTAGGCCTCTACCACCGGAGGCAGGGCCTGCAGCTATCTGAGGTCTGGGATAAAGTCAAATCCTGTTTAACTATAAAGACACAGAACTTCAAACTCTGCAGATATCCCTTTCCTGCCATCCATCATCCGTCTCGGGACCCTTCTTGTGGCATCCCAGCATGACTCAGTTGCTTAAAATTTCTGGGGAAATGGCAAAAGTCAAGTGGTGTTAGCAGACTGGAATCAGCAAAGGCAAGCAAGACAAGCTTGTAACACTTCTGGCCTTAACCTTCAGAACTAAAACAACTACTTCAAACACTTCCCCCTCCCCAGGCTTCTGCCATGGAAACCACTCAGAGATGCAGAAACGTTGTCTTTTCCATCTCCGGAAAAGCAGAAAATCAAATGGGAATAGAATAAATTATCTCCTGATTTACGGGTTGAGCACTAATATGCAGCAAGAGTCCTTTCTTGGAGTCTGGAGGTGTATAATCTGCCTCAGCGTCTTGCACAAGGAGATTTTCTGCATGGAGATGAGGTTGTGACATGAACATTCTTGGTCATTCATTTAGGAGCATCTCTTCTTATTTCAGGAACTGGGCACAGGGAATTATAAAAGCATGGTCTCTGCCAAGCTTTGAATCCTATAGGGGAGAGGGAAATGTAAAGAGATAAGTAGGTTTTGGTACAAAGCAATGTTCTTGACAGCAGGCAAATTTAGCAACTTCAACATCAACCAGCAAAACTCAAAAGCATCTTTAAAGCTAAGGGGCATTGCTAAAACATCTCAATAGCAGGCTCATGTTTGTCTTCTATTACAGAACCTACATGGTTGTGAAACATTTCTCTGCCTTTAAACAGATGTGTGGCCTCGGCTTGTCCAGCTTGTCCACTTAGCAATATGGTTATGGGATACCAGTGATGACAGCAACTAAGAATGGAACCCAAGCAAGGGTCAAATTCTTGCACTGCTCTTTTCTAGCTGTGAGTTAATTAATTAATGTCTCCAAGCTCCTGATGTTTCATTAATAACCATGAATCATAATATCCATCTCAAGGGGTTGTTACTAAGATTTTTTTAATTGAAATTTACCAAGCACCTGGCACAGTGTCTGTCACATTAGGTTCTCAACAAATAACCTCTACTTTCCATTTTTCCCTTCTCTAGTTGCTTTATATTTAACAACTAGAGGCCTGGTGCACGAAATTCGTGCATGGGGGGGCGGGGGGCGGCGGGGAGGTGTCCCTCAGCCAGGCCTGCACCCTCTCCAATCTGGGATCCCTCTCACAATCTGGGACTGCTGGCTCCTAACCGCTCACCTGCCTGCCAGCCTGATCGCCTCCTAACCGCTGCCCTGCCAGCTAGATTGACGTCTAACTGCTCCTCTGCTGGCCTGATTGCCCCCAACAGTCTTCTCCTGCAGGCCTGGTCACCCCCAACTGCCCTCCCCTACTGGCCTGATTGCCCCCAGCTGCCCTCCCCTGCAGGCCTGGTTGCCCCCAACTGCCCTCCCCTGCTGGCCCAATTGCTCCCAACTGCCCTCCCCTGCTGGCCTGATCGCCCCCAACTTCCCTCCCCTGCCAACCATCTTGTGGCGGTCATCTTGTGATGACGTGATGATGTCGCACAAGGGATGATGCTACCTAGGCTTTTATTACATAGGATTGGTTATAGAATTTTTCAAATGTACACAAATTTAGAAGGACTATAGCTAATGAATCCCTTTATAGTCATCATCAGTTTTAAGAATTATCAAAAAATAAAAAAATAATGTGAAAAGGAAATTTATATTCATTTACAGCTATAACAATTCAGGCATTGATAATAAAGCAGCAGCAATATGATTGCTTTAAGGTAACCTAGGATAATTGATATAATTGTCTCATGGTAGTAAAAAAAAATCTCAAAAAAACTTTCCAATATTTATTTTTTAAAATCCACGTATAAGTGGACCTGTGCAATTCAAACCCATGTTGTTCAAGGATCAGCTGTAGTTGCTAAAAATACCATTATAGTGGCCCCTGTTGCCTGCAAGAGATATGTTCCAACACCCTCAGCGGATGCCTGAAACCATGCATAGTACCACAATCTATATATCCTGTTTGTTCGTATACACACAGGGGTGGGCAAAAGTAGGTTTACAGTTGTAAGTTGCACAAAGTACAGTTTATTCTTGTATTATTATTCATTAATTATTGTATTATCTTCTATACGCACAACTGTAAAACTACTTTTGCCCACCCCTGTATATACCTATTATAAAGTTTAAGTTATAAATTAGAGAGATTTATAACTGCACTGTAAGAGATTCACAATAACTAACAATAAAATAGAACAATTATAACAATACTAGAGGCCTGATGTACGAAATTCGTGCAAGGGGCCCAGCCCTCGCAGCCGCAGATGCTTGCCTTGGCCCTCACAGGCCCAGCTTCTACCGCTAATATGCTAATTAGACCATGATGAATGTGATCTCTCTCTCTCTCTCTCTCTCTCAAAATATCTTATTGTACTCTGCTCATCCTTCCTGTGATGATGTGAGGTGCTCATGTGATGAGATGAAGTGAGGTGAATGACACAGGCATTGTGACATAGCATTAGGCTAGTATAAGGGTTACTTGAACACAAACCATGCCAGTCAATCTGATAATCAAGATGGCTACTCAGTCACTAATGGGGCGGGCAAAGGGATAATTTGTCCATACACAGCTGGACAAAGGGATAATTCACATTCCAGGTGGGACAGATTGAGGTAGTGAGAGCTTTTATCATGCTACTCAGAACAACCATTTAAAACTACAAATTGTTTATTTCTGGAATTTTCCATTTAATAGTTTTGGACTACCATTGACTGTGGATAACTGAAGCCACAGAAAGTGAACCCATGAGTAAGGGGAACTACTGTTTTTATTCTGTACTTTTATAGAATATAAACCTTTATTCATGTGCTTACACATACGCATATACTATGCAATGCAATCCCAATTTAATGCATCTATCCCAAGATAAAATGCATCTTATCTTGCACCTTTAAGTAACTGCAATTTTATATCATGTAGATTATTCCATCAAATTATTTAAGGTATTAACCCAACCCAGGATAGATAGAGTTATTGGCAAAAAAACAACAACACACAAAACAAAACAAAAAAACAACAACAGTAACATGCTCCCTTGATTGTGTCCTAACATATGGACAGAGTCATGACACCTTTGTTATAGAAAGCATGAATTATCACTTTCAGTTCTATATTTCTTTGGAAATAAATAAAAACTTGAGGTTTATGAAAGAACAGACTCTTGTAAAACTGGAAATTATACAAGAGCTTCCTGCATCTTCTAAAGATATCCTGATTATCCAGTCACCCATTCAGCTCAGGAACAAAACCAGCATGGAGCAGTGTTTCTCGAAGCACCCTGTGCTTACCTGCCTCACAGCACTCACCACACTGGCCAAGTGAACTATTAACCTTCTAGACCCCTCAGACCATGAACTCTTCAAAAGCAGGGGCTGTGGTTCATTCATCTCTCTATTCACAGAGCCCAGCACAGTGCCTGGAATACAGTAGGCACTTTGCACATGTTTGTTGAAATCTAACTATGGTTTAAGCTATTTGATTTTAACTATCCTTTAGCTTAAGGTGAATTGGGCCTGATATTTGCCAGGAGCTCCACTGGGCTGGAAGAGAGAGAGTTGAGCTGCCTGTTGTTGGTATAGCTGATTAAAGCAACAAGCCAAAAATGAAAGAGTTAAACCTCTAATCACTGACTGTGATGATATAAGCAAGAGTCTGAAACCAAAACAACAACAACAATAACAACAAATAAAAAACAACACTGCCTCCCCCTGTTCCATTTTCCCCCATGGAATAGCACGCTGGTTGAGGGTCATATGTATCAGCACAGATGTGGAGGTAGTCTCACTATTGAGGGAGCCCCAAACAAAAGGCTCTGGCAGTCTTAAGGACTCTGGGCTTGAGAGAGGGTGTGGGAGACGGCTAGGAGTGGAAAATTACTGGGTCGTGAGTCAGAGTGGGGAAAGGTGTCTTCAAAGTTCCTTCCTCCTGATGAGAAGGTCTCCACAGAGGCACCTGGAGGGGACTCCTGGCCAAGGCCTCAGATAAAAGACCGATAGGAATGAAGGAAGCAGGGCTTGGAATGAACTATACCAAGAGCATGACTATCCGGGGGGCCAGAGTCCTTGACTGCACCTCCCTCCAGAGACTGGAATGCATGGGCTGTTACCAAACCAAAGTCCATGTGCCCCACTCTTTGAAAGGCCAAAATTCAAAACATCTGAGTTTGGAGTAAGGAAAGGTTTATTGTTTGAAAAGGTGCCAACTGATAAGATGGGAGTTCTAATTCTCAAATCTTACACACTGGACTAGGTGACGGGTTGTTAAGGGGTTGGAGGAGTAGGTATGCAGAATAGCTGGTGGGCAAGTTTTAACTGGAGGACCTTGGAACTTGGCCATTTATGGTAAAGGGACTAAATCTTCCTGGACAATAGGCCCTTGGCTTCTGGAAGGATTCCGGTGTTCAAGTTCTGGTCCTTTGGTTCCCTGGTTGGAAGGGGGAGCGCATGAGACTGGTTCTGGGCACAGTTGGAGATCAAAGTTCTCTCTTCTACACATGCATGACCTGCAGTGTTGGTCTGTTGTCTCTGAAAAGCAACTCGGAATCTCATTAAACAGGATAGGACCATTTGAGTTGGTTCTGCAGTTACATGGGGAGGGCAGCTTTCCCTGTGAAGCCTTCTAGATTTAAAAAAAAAAAAAAAAGTCTCTGTAATCGTGTAAGGTCAGGCCTGAAAAAAATCGCACACAGGTTTTTAACCAGAAGCCTACTTCTTCAACATTAAAAGCCAAAACACAGAAACAGTGAACTAGAGGGGGCATGCTCTGCTTTTGCTGTTGAGAAACGAATCAAGTTAGGGAAAAAATAAGGGGGTATTTTCCCAGTCTTACTGCTAAATTATCAACAGAACCTGAAGCTTGAGAAAAAACAATAAATATATTTTTGACCTTTGAACTTTCAAACTTTCCTGTAACTTTTTGATCCCACCTTAGACATTACATAGATTATCATCAGTATGATATGCATTGGTGTCTGGATTCCAGTCCAGCATATGGTCTCCTTAAGGAAAATTTCTACATTGAGACAGGCCAGGAAGCTAGGACAAGTGGAACAGGGAAACTGACAGCTGAACAAACTGGCCGAGCAATTCACAGCCAGACACAGAAGGTCACTTCCCTGGAGAGAACATCCAGGCCTCAGTTGTATTTCAGGTTCAGGCCCAGAAAAGCAGCGAAACCAGGTGGGCCACACCAGGACCAGCAGCAATAACTAACGACCCCCTGCCCTGACACTGACCAATCAGTGGAGACCACGGCCCAGAATGAGCACACCCTGAGAACTGATGAATATTTTGCTGAAACCCTCCCCTGAGACCTCCCATAAAATTCCCGCCAATCAGAGAGAAATAAAAGCCTCAAAACAAAGGATCCAGCGTGTACACTCTCCCTCTGGGGAGCAGCCCCTGACTTTCTCTTTCCCCTCTTTCCCCCCACAGCTCACGTCTTCTAAACGCTAAGGGACCCCACAAGACTTGCAACTGAGGGAGCAATAGGCAGTGGTGGCTTG